ATATATATATATATGTAATATATATATATATATGTAATATATATATATATATGTAATATATATATATATATGTAATATATATATGTAATATATATATGTAATATATATATATATATATATATATATATATATATATATATATATATATATATATATATATATATATATATATATATATATATAGGCTATATATACAGGCTATATATATATATATATATATAGCCTGTATATATATAGCCTATATATATATATATATTTATATATAGATCTCTCTTTTGAACGATAACGGTGGCCCTAAAATATTTCAGTTCCGACTGCCAGAAAACGTAATTACGAACCATCTGCATCGGTGGCGGTGCTCATAATTTATTATCCACTGCATTTAATTTTGAACAATCCATGTCTGAACTCGAAAATTATGTCAGTAAATATTTTGAAAATTGTCAGTGTTCGAAATTTTTCATTAAGTTCGTCACCTATATTCCGTATAAGTTTATATTGTCCGTTTTTGTTAGTGTTGTTTTTTTCCCCGTTGTCACTTTAATTGTCACTCAAAAATATTAGCAAACAGCCGGCATTCATGCAGTCATCGATAATGATATCTTTATTATTAAGAGGACATTTTCTTCACTGAAGCTTTATATCAATGGCACCACCACCGGTAAGTATATAGAATATTTAGGCTACGTATAACTTATACGTTTATGCTATACCAGATACCTTTTCGTATAGCGGCGCGAAAAAGCATCTATCTGATAAGGAATCAGTACAACTTTCATATAAGCTGAGCGAAACAACCTCTCTCTGTTGCAATAATTCTTCTGAAAATAGCGTTCCTAAAAGGTACGGACACGGGTGTTTTTCACGTCGTTACGGAAAGCTATATATCCGGTACAAGACAGTGTAAACGTAGCCTTAAGTCCTTAACTAAGTCAGTCTCAAAGCCGCGATTGCAGACAAGCTAGTTTTCATCATGTGGCAATGATGAATTGAAAATTACACGTATGTACATACAGTAAATATCAGTGGGATTTACGTATACGTACAGCAAATCAGTTCTATTCAACCGGTTTCATACTTTGAAATACTCATAATTGCTACTACAGGCATGCACACTGAAAGACTGAAAGGGTGTTTCGAAAACGAAGACCTACAAAAGCGAAGACCTATAACTATAAGATAAGGTGGGTCTTTGTTTCGTGCTTACGAAAACAAAGACACGTCGACTTCGACAGACTTATATATGAAGCTATATATTACGAAAAATGCAGATTCATAATCATACTGGGAATACTCGGCTGAAAAACACAAAGAGAACTTCGACGTTTCGAGCGAAGGCCCTTCGAAAGTATTAAGCGATTTCACCAACCTTTTGAGAAAATGTTCCAAAGAATTCGTTTCGGGAAAGTATCGGCAGGTACTAAAATTTTCCCATAAATTCTGGGAAAAATAACTTTCGGCAATAAAAATAGAAACCTAAATTAACGTTAACCGCCCATAGTCAAAAGCAGAGATTTTACTCAACTAATAAAAAGATATTTGGAAGATAGAAAATTTCGCCTTCGCGCCGACTTGCTTGGTTGAGTATTAAAACTGAAGGAGTGAAGAGGCGTTAACAATTCAGCCACTCTTATACCTAGTGCACACAGATAAAACTCTTAATTCTTAATAATTGCCAGAAATTTTTAAACCAGTTTTAAACAGATCAATTAATATCAGACTATATAATAAGAAATAATTACCTTACTGATACAAATAAAATATAAAATGAGTAACAATATGTCATGCATTTGCTGCAACATTGACATTGACATTGTTAATGCCTCAATAATTTTGTCGCGACACTAATACGAAAACGAAGACGGGTCTTTGTTTTAGCAATAAGAAGTGGAGACGGGTCTTTGTTTTTGCAATTACGACAAGGCAAGGATTAGGTCTTCAGTCTGTGTTTTCGTAGCTCTTCTTTTTCAAAACAACCCACACACCGGCAGCAATTGATGATTCCCCTTATTACGTTTTCGTGGCGCTTTGCATTGTGGTTATAGTGGTATCACTGATAAAGATAGCGGCCTCGAATGAAAATATTGAACGTTTTCGCAAATATTTTGCTGTTGGCTATCGCGCACCTGACCCTAGCTTTTTTTAAAAGTTCTTGCACGGGTCAGGACAAAAAAAATCATCTTGAATATCAGTGATACCACTATATCCACAATGCAAAGCGCTACGAAAACGTAATAAGGGGAATCTAGTATTGAGCAATATATCGCCGGCAGTCCGATTAACCGCATCAAAGACCGAAGTGCTCAAATTACTTTGTCAAATTTTACATGCGACCCCATATCTGTGAAGTTCTGAAACACAATTTGTTCCAGTATTACTATATTTTAATTTATCACTATTAAGCGACAAAAATAAAATCACTACAGGGCTCATTACTGCCATTAGTCAGAATGTCATCCTGATTAAGAGCGGGCTAAGAAAAATTAGCATTACTTGTAACTGGTCTGTTGAACAGAAATAAACTGATAGAGCCCAGCAGATAATTTTAAAATATTATTGTATTGTAAACAACGAAACGTTAGCTAATAAATTTTTTACTTTTATTATGTTTGGTTTTAAAGTTATTTGAGGGTCCTGAAGGGGTAAAATGGGAACTGGGATTGATCTATTTTTAGACTGGGAAAATGGGATTTGGGTTGCTGGGACTGGAATTTGGCCACTGGGAATGGGAAATGAAGTCCTCAAAAATGGGAATGGGATTGAGGTAATGCGAGTTGATTCCCAATTTTTCTACGTTTTAAGTATTTTAAAATACAATTTTGATCCGTTTTTGGTGTCTTTGGTCATGATTTTTGTTGTTAACTATATTACTCACAGCACTACCTGCGAACAGGCATACTCTGGCGCCCGGAATTCGGGGTTTTCTGATTATGCGTGTCTCAGAATGCTGTAAATGCCATTACCGGGATTCAGATTTTAAAATTTTCTGTGCCTTCGGCACAAGCCCCCCACCCCATATTTCATAAAGTGTCCACCACTTGCACACACGGTGGCTTAAAACTGTTTATTCTACCGATAAATAAAGGGTTTTTTATTGACTGGGATTTCAATAACTCGGACTGGGATTTCTAATAAAAATCCAACTGGGACTGGGATTTTGCCAAAATTTCAGGTGGGAAATGGGATTGGGACCCCCCCTTCAGGACCCTCTTATTTGCTGGGCTCTGCTCTTTATCTTTAATTAAACTAAGATTTCCGTCTGGTGTATCAATTGCCACAGCAATAAATTAGAATAACTGGGCTCCTCCGCAGAGGCGCCGGGAATAGGCTTACATGAATCTTACATGAAGTTTCGAGTAAGCGCGCATCTCCCCATTCGAAACTTCATGTAAGCCTATTCCATGCAATCGCCTCTACGGAGGAGAGAGTAACTTGTAATTTAGTCGGCCGGCCAAGGTGGCAAAAAGTGACTCTAAAGTGAGTTTGATGGCGACAGGCAACTTTATGTTAGAAGTTGGCAGCAGGCATTTTCTTATAGTTTATAAGCCCTGCTGAACAAGACTATATCATGTGTTGCCACTTCTGATTTTTGCCTAGTTACAGACAAAAATTCGGTATAAAATCTCATGTTCTCTAACTTCTCTTATACGAAAAATAAACAATACCACTTAGAAAGTTCGCAAAAAGATATATAAGACAATCACCCGCACAGTGCGATATTTCAACCCGGTTTTGAATTAAAGATGGTTAAAGTTGGCAAAATGGATATTTTTGGTCATTTCCGCATTTTTTGGCATTGAAAACTCGAAATAGGATTCGAAGAACGTTGAACTCGCTGGGGGCTATAAGCCCCTCTGAGCACCCCTTTCAAAACACCCCTGGAAAATACCCCAACCGACCATAGATATCTTGCAACCGACTCGTTATGTAGTCTGTCGTCATATCGAGCCACACGCGGGCTATTCAAGGTCTTTTATTCATATGTGACGTAACGGTGAAGAGGACCTCATTTGGCATTCATATCAGCAGTATAAACACAAGAAGAGGAACACGAAGTTTTTATTGACACGGCAGCTGCGTGTCGCGTCTTGACCGTTCATGTTTGTATATGTGTATCGAAGAGTATATTTTGTCTTCAGGTTTTAACAGAATATCGTACTTAAGATGACTCATGATCCGCTACAACGTGCGTCTTCGACTCCGTGTTGTACGACAGCGCTGTCAACGAGGGAAACGGTACCCGTAGACGAGGAAGGACAGATCATTCTCGAGTCTATGGCCGAATCAACCGAGTCCAGCTGCCCTGAAGAAAAATCCTCGCCAAGGTTTGTAATTTGTTTTAAATCTTAGTTAATACTTGTGGTATATAACTGTTCATACTAAAATATCGTTTGAAAAACTCTGTCTCTCAGTCTAAACAATAACATCGTCGAAGTATACATATTTGTCTTGGCGGTAGAAACAACTATTCAGCGCTGCTTGTCGTGCTTGGACTTTGACCGAAAGTCCCATCAATATTTAGTAATTTTCAGTTAAACTTAGTATATATTTACTGTAACAAAATGTCACGTAACCATAACTGGCACAATGTCAAAGACATTTTAATACTGACATATTAACATTGGATTATATAAAATCTGAAGATATAGGCCCTCGACATATAGTGCCACATCTCAAAAACAGCACCTTGCTAGCAAATCGTTAGCTGACTGTCGCTATAACTCCAAAACTGAGAAAACCTAATGTGCCGGCAACGCACCTTCGTTCTGCCCCTAACGTAATAGTAAATTTAAAAAGAATGTTGTTGGCAAATGCACACAAGCGTGACCGTGGCGTAGTATTACAAATACGCTGTATATTTTGTGCTGTTTCCCAGGTTTTTGACAAATAAACAACAACAGTTTGGCAGTACATTGCAACATTGTGGCATTTAATTGCCAATCGAATTCGTGCTAACGAAACTGAAGCATTTGAAGGCGAATATCCTTTTTCGTTTTCAAAGCAGCTTGGCTACCCACGCTGGTCACGGGTTTTCCTTTCATTTGGCAAATTGCGTTCTTAAAATCTCTCTCATAGCTAGGGGTCTAACGGTAGGATATCGTCGCAGCAAAGCTAGGAAACTTATGTGTTCCATGTATCATCACCTTGTGGTATTTATTAGTTAGATTTCTTCTAAAACAAGTTGGGAAATCACCGCATTGTGGGACTGTAATATGTACCACAAGAATGGTAAGGAAATGACTTCTGGCAAGTTTACAAAAGCAGACATGAACCTCTAAAATCTCTCACGGAATTTTAGAAGAAGCCAGCGAATTTAAATAATGTCGATCTAGGGATATCCCTTATAGCTTTATCCAGATTGACATTTTTACATTCAGAATTGTGTTGTATTATAGTCAAAATCGATTCAAACGCTGCTCGAATACTGGCTCAAGTCTGAATCTCTGAGTCTGAATATTGACCAAAAACCCTTCCTAAATTGAAACACAACAGGTGATACATATTAATGCATAATTAACTGTTTAGAACCATTTGGTTGCCTGCTAATGTTTCCGAATAACGTGTCTTTTAACAAATACATTTTAACCAATTTGTACTGATGTATGTTAAGCCAAACTGTAATATTATTATATAACGATGTTTTACATCGTGTGTTGTGGCTTATCTAGAAAAGAATTAAGCTTTCGCTAAATTGGTTTGGATGTCATAATCTCGTTTTTATTCAGATCTTATTGATACAGGGAATACAAATATTATCGGTTAGAAAAGTGTATTATTTATATAAAGTCTATAAAGTTATCTTGTGAATACAGTTGGTATTATCACATGTATTATCAAATATCATTCGCTGTTCGTGTATTAAATATGTACTGTGTCTTTTTCAAATTTTCTAAATATATACAGAACCGTGAGTTATATATTGTACTCTCCTAGTGAGAGACAAGGCGAATTTAACCGGGTTTTTTCGTGATATATTAAGGTTGCGAGGTGGCCTATTCCTATGGCTATGGTTAGTGCCCGTTTGTTTACGTTGTATCAATTACCAAGTGGGCAAGCGGGAGGTGTGTCTCGAAACACGTGTATATGTAATCTACAATAATTCCTTAACGACGATAGTATTTTAGCCCAAAACTGTGAAGAATTTCAGTATTGAAGCCATGCTATTCGATGTGAATTATTTGTACTTTGTTAGTTACCATAAATGCGAAGCACAGAAGGCAGAACGAAATAATTAAGATAATACGTATCTCTATTTTGAAAACCGGTTTGAAAACCGGGAATTAACCGGTTCCACTCCAGCGAATGCCTTGCGTAATGTTTACATAAATTTGAATAACATTACAGTAATATCATACATACCTGACGTGACATGCATACTCATCACTGCAGTGGGGTGATCAAATTTTTGACCTGAACTCGCAGATAGAATATGAGAATATTTTTCGCCTGTTCAAGGGATAACATTCCTCATGATCATGTATATCTTCTATTACTTGACCATTCCTTAACCACACATATTATCAAATATTTAGAACCAACATTCATGTCATTGGCATTTTTCCATCTCGTGGCTTGTGGAAACACTATGCACGTTTATTTATAATTAGAAATCTTTCAATTCGATCTTATGTCCAGATCTTCATCAGTACCAATAGTAAACATTAATTAATACATTCATTGGTATATTTGTACTCATGTTTGAAGGCTCGTTCAGTGTTCAAATCTTTCCGATGTTTGATGAAAAATTTGAATAAAGTTATACCTGTTTCAAAGTGAAGTTTTCACTTCAGTTCTACAAAAGGCGCGAGAATTTCTAGGAAAGGTTGAAAGCAAGCAAGGTCGAAATTTTATAAGGTCCTTTTACTGTAATTAATAAACGAGCGACCCTCATAACAAACTTTTTTGTGCCGTCTCTGTTTCTTTTTCGACCTGCAAGCTAATGCTATATAAATAAATTAGGGAAACGTTGGTCTTGCAGCGAGCAGCAATCGTTTGCAGTCAATTTCAACTTTATACTTTTCTACTTCGTTCCGACAGTATGATTCCGACCTTCGCGAATTCGTGCGAAGTTCAAACGTTCATAATGAATTCACAAGCAGGTTTTTAGACAAAGCCTCTGATTGGTCCCTAAATCGAAAGAAGACAATAAAATTCTTAGCTTGCAAACCAGTTTGTGAATTTATTTGAATAAACTTTTGACCTTCTGTAAATTAAGCAAAAATTGAAAATCGAATGTACACATTCCTTTCAACAAGTTGCTTGACGAATGCAGCTTCATGAAAACCGTGGAAATTACTCCGACGTTTCGAGCAGGAATTTGAACGAGACGACAGAACTTCGCTCGATTGGTCAGAGTATTTTCTATATTACGCCATATACACACTCAAGAAATACTCCGTGACCGATCCGTAATTTTTGCCGTCAAACTGACCAGTATATTATAGTCTATCTAGATCATATTAACTAAATGTCTATGCGTCATTACTAACTACTATATACTCTGTAGGGACCATTTTCATAATACGGACGGGGTTTAATGCTGTGTGTATTAATAAGGCTTCTTGGCCTCGTTCACGTTCAAAAATTATATTCCGAGTTTCTGTCACAAAAACGTACGAGGTAAGATAGAGTAAACTTTATTTAAACACGATATAAACAGCTTCAATGTAAATTATTTCGGGGGTGTGTGTGTGTGTGTAAAATTTCTAATTACAAAACTAAGCCTAATCATGTAGATTTAAAATATCACTAAAGCCTGGTCAAGCGAGGATGAGAGTTGCCAGTCACATATTGTTACGGGGGCATTTCAAACTCCATATTTAATAAAATAAAGGTTTAATGAGTGTTCCAACTACGTTTTAACTTAAATAGAACACACGATAGTGTTGGGAAAAGATTCAGAACAGCTATAGCCAGGGTCGCGTAACTGCCAAACTCCAATCACTCATGCACTCTCGTCCTCGTTTGATCCAGGCTTAGGCCTGGTTTTCATGTGGTCGTCATGGTTGTAAAAATAGAGTCACGATCTTTCTCAACGGCCATATTATAATAGTTTATTCCTGTAAACCACATACAAATCATAAGGGTGAATAGGTTTTCGGATCGTCGGATTTCACAGAGAAAAAATTGTTCGGATTTCGGATCTGGCGAATATTTTACACGGACTTGCGGATCTTATTAATACTGCGGATTTACCTAATATTTTGGCTCGGATTGTGGATTTAGCTTGCAATTTAGTTAGGATACTGGGTTGTGACTTCATAGTAGGATTCAAATTTAGACAAGACCATTGTCTGATCGCGGATTTTGCTTCAAATTTGGGCGGATCGGCAGATTTATATACCCTTATTCACGCTCCGCCCCATAAGTATTCTCTACTTAAAATCACTACGTGTATTTTCAGTTCCAAAATGTTGTATTTCGGCTGATGAGAAAGATCGTGACTCAATCTTTACGACCGTTACGGCCATATTGAAACCAGGCTTTAAGTGCATTACAACATGAAATTATATCAGGCTAGTTGAACGTTGAAAGTTGCTAAGCTCTCAGCATTCCTAATTTCACACCGCAAGAGTACTGAAACCATGAGTCGACAACGCTTATTAAAATTTCAATTTATTTCAATCCATTTCTATTGTGAAAGTTATCTATTGTGTGACTCATTATGCTACACGTATTTCCGACGTTTCCTGAAAGAGAAAAGGAAAGTCCTTGTTTATTTCAGTTTAACCGGAGCCCAACCTCTTTAATGAGGTCAAGGGTACAGTATATCAAGTGCCCTTGACCAACACTGATCTTGACAGAGGGTCAAATTTGGGTAGTGACAACATTGATAGATTACCATAAATTCTGTTTTAAACCTGTTTGTGTTTGTCTGTGAGCGTTAGAAAAGCGAGGTGTCCACAATAACTTCACGATAACTTAGAAATATATATCAAGCGCATTAATACAAAAATTAATTTGTGGGACAAATTGATTAAATTTTGGTTAAATTCGGACGAACATTGGCCGGAGAAATTAGCAAATGTTTGTCTTGCTTTGCCGGGCAGAGTGATCTGAATGCGTAGTTAATTTATGCATGATATGGGCAAATGTTATCCAGGTTAGCGAGAAAACTTTTCGACAAGTTTACAAGCGAGATCTCGCCTTGTTATGAAACTGAAAAATATGAAAAGTTACACTGCGTTCATATGAGACAAAAAGTTTTCCCGTGTACCGAGATCTCGCTTGTTGGCAGGCGAGATGTCGATTGTCGGTGACCGGGATGTTTTTCCCATATGAACAGTGAACACAACTTTCCCGCTTAGCGGGATAACTTTCTGTCGTGTCAGCAACTTTTCAATTCAATTGATGTTCAGTGCTACGTCACAGCCGGAAACTTTACCCGGTAAGCGGGACAACGGTTCTCCATATGAACAGAAAAAAGTATTTGGCTAGTCGAAAGGCCCTCAAAGTGATATACTTCTAGTCTCACAAGTGACAGGTAAATCCCTGCATTACGAATTAAAATATATTTATTATATGGCAAGCATCACTTCCGGTGAAATGGCGGACTGTGATTGGCTGAGAAGCACTTTCAGCGGTCCATTATTTTCCCGTAATGGACTGGCCGTCCATTACCTAAAAACAAACGCATGCATTTTAAAACAAAACAGCAAAACTAATTGAAAATTTGAAAATTATAATTTAATATTTGTTATTAATAAGATATATCTGCGAATGGTTTTAAGTGGAAAGGAAGGAATATATTGGTAATTTTTGTTTTCTCTGACCAAATGTGTACCACGCTACTAATATGCATTTCAAATCATGCATTTCTTGTTTGTTTGAAGGATAAATGCCTATATATGCCATACTAGTAATAAACTTAGTTTTTATTAACCTCGCTTGCTCGGTCTTTACAGAGAAATATTGGACCTCGGTCTTTTACTACAAACCTTGCCCTACGGGCTCGGTCTGTACAAAAAAGACCTTGGTCCGATACAGGGTCTTAGCTAGGATTTTAGATCTTGGGCGTGTTTCTAAATGACCAGCTGGGTGTGCACATGTCAATTACCTCAAATAGCCAAATTCACAGTTTTAGCTATGCTTGCCAACAACAGACAATGCCTGTGGTTGTTCTATGCTTTGAAACCAAATACAAGACGAGCATATGCTCATATTGGGCACTGACATTAAATTATTTCAGCAACTCTTGGGGGTATTTAAAACCATTTAACACCATACAGTTCCCATTATCCATCAAAACATTAAAACATCACAGATCACTTTTGTCAATTTCAACAACAACCGTAGATTTTACAAACTTTCTTACGACGTACAGGAAATAGGAAGAAATTCTGTCCGTTATTTTATGAACCTACACGGCCTTATATAAATAATGAAACCGCGTTCATTTTATCTAGCCGTGTTTTTCCCCTTTTGGCCGCGATAACACGGCCAACACGGCCCTCTGGCTAAGACCCTGGTCCGATATTTCTCTGTAACGGACCTTGCGTTCGGTTAATAAGAAGTTAATAGTCAGGGGCCGGTTGTATAAAACTCTTAATCACTTTTTTAATCACTATATTTTGTAGTTAATTATAGTTATCTTTAATCACTTTTTTATACAACCGGCCCCAGAATTTATTGAATATTAATCATTGCCCCATGCAAAGCAACAATTATTAAAATAGAGGGACAAAAAGCGATATCAGTGACAAATCAAAGGCCGTTGAGGGCGACTCACGGATGAGATCAAATAAAAGTAAGAGAAAGAATTAAAGCAGTTTGCAGTTGTTTTTGCAAACGAGCACCTTGCGAAATTAGTGTGCTCCAGCCCGATTTCCGGTTCTGAAAGACTCGATTCGCAGGCAAACAACGCGCGCAAAGCAAGCTGTTCATTTCCCATTGTTTAACTGCCCCACACTCGAGTAACCACGAAGGCTCACAGATGTTGCTTTGGGTAGTTGTTACTGCTTGACAAATAGAGGTAATTTAATACAAGATGGTAATTTAATACGAGATAATTCTAATTTGGTACAGATGAAAATATGCAAATTTCAAATAGGCATGTACTAGGAATACGGTAGATATATGTGAAGTATAAAAAAAGATCGTCAAGTTTAGATTAGGGTCAGACACAGATTAAGATTAGTTAAGGTTAGAAGTTAGAGTCGCGGTTAGATTAGGTCGTGTTTATAATTAACAATAATTTACTCATATATAGTAAATTCAAAGGTCGTCGAGCTCATGCTGAATATTTTTATCTTTTCTCCTGTGTGTATTCTTTGTATTGTGTAGTCTTTATATAGAAACGTGAAATATGAATGAATGAATGAAAACTTTATTTGAACACGCTGACCCCGTCAACCGAAGCTGATTTCCACGAGGGGGCGTGTACAGAAGAAGTGTAGAAATACAGCATTTAAAAGCTATTTAAGATACAATATAACGTATAGCATTAAGATATTAAGATAACTAATCTATTTGTGGGTATATCTATTTACACTTATAGCATGTAGCTATAAGTAGCGATTTCTTTTCCTAATTTCTTTTCGAACCGAATTCCAAGGGTATGCTCCATCATACATGAAACTTTTTTCATATTATTTTTACGCGGTTTTGGTAAAGAAAGACTACTGGATCGGAGATGTTGCGAAGATTATGATCTGTCATCTCACTTTTATATGTGAAAAGATTTGCGAGTGAAGTATTCAGAACGTCACAGTAAATCCTACATTAGCCTCCCACTTTATTTCTATAGAGAGGAGAGGACGAAATTTTCCTTGAAGTCCTCGTTTCACCGAAGACTGTGTTTCGTCTAAATCCGCAAGAATTCCCTCCCTCCTTTTTGTCCTACCACTGAGGTGTTGTAAATTGTACGTGCTTTATTACTCAGAAGATATTTCTGAGTCCCCGAGTGGGGATAAGTAAACTTACTAGACTATTAATTCTTATTAATAATAAACCACTAAGTGTGAACATTTGAGTAAACTAGCGCTCAACATCTCGTCAATGAAGAAAGAAGAATAAACTATCCAATACTAGCAGAAATACTCCAAACTTCACGGTCATTTTCCCCCTTCCATTTCACATAATATTGATGATTTAGGTAGCAAAATGGACCAAATTTAACACAGATTTCAGCGGAAAGAACTAGGACCCAATAAATCCTAATTCCTTACGCAAACTTGCTCTTGTAGTACATTGCGTGCCAAACACCTCAAAACATTTGTATTTTGCCCCTTGAATTTTTGTTAATCTGCACTTGAAATGTACATGAAATATGTGTCAGAACTAATAGTTTTTAAATTCGGTGGTAACCACGTGACATATGAAACCGTGAAATACGAGAAGAAGTTTTGTTCACACAAAGTATGCTAAACGTTCATCATGGTCATTGCTGTCACGTCTACTAATACACAACAATATTATTCTTTCCTAGGTATGCGACATTTATTGTGAAACATCCGTACATTCTTCTCGTATTGATCTTGGTACTGGTTATATTATCTGGAAGTTTTAGTCTTATTCCACAGCTTGGAGCGAAACCTTTACCGGACTTCAAAGAACCCGTCAAGGTAGATTTTGCGATATTTCTTGGAACGGTGGTAGTGGTTTTGTAGCTCACTTGGTTAAAGTGCTGCACCGGAATCGCAGGGACGCAGGTTTGATTCCTCCACTAGGAGGGCTGCTCCTGGTTAAGTCCAAATAAATTTTAAAAAGGCATTAATAATTCACGAGGAAAATACAAAAGAAATGAATGTTTAATCAATGTTCGTAAATCGGATAAAGATTTGTCCTGATTTACTTATACTTCAGCTTTGATTTTCTCGGCTTAGACAATGTTTATTTTTAAAATTACTTCGCCAATGAACTCATAAGGTGGGTCATTTTTTAAGTACGATTTTCGCATCCGATCTGTATCTGATATACAAACTCGAGCCGTACAAACTCTCGCCTTCGGCTCGAGTTTGTATATCAGATACAGATCGGCTGCTCATGTTTTATCCAATACTTATAAAATTTACCCTTGAAATTTCCATTTTCAAAATCCACAATCTTGATATTTACTCTCACATTTGATCCATTGGTTCCGCAACTTCCGCTGATAATAGTATTTTAGAGTGATTGCGATTGGAGAGTCAAAAATTTGAGATGCAATTATAACAAATCAATACTTAATACTAGAGTACAAAACAATAGATACTCCGAATATAAAAGTTCAATATAAAAGGGGTTTTGATTTCCATTGTTAAAATATGGTCCAAAACTTGTACATCTCGCCGAAGTACCTCCGTATTTTCGAAGAACGGCATTTGTTGTACATGCTGGCGAATTTTTTTGGAGAATAAAGCGATTTGAGTGTGAAAAATTTCGATTCGAAGTGCCGTGCCGTCGTATCGACGATCGGGAATAGTTAGCCTTTATCATATTTCATGTATACTAGTAACATCGAGTACAAAGTCTCGGAAAATATTAGTCCAACAAAAGAGGAATAAAAGGAGAACACACACTATCAAATAGGCAAGTCAAGTTCATTTTAAAATTTATATTTTACGACATATTTTTACTATAATATACATTAATATAATATAATATACATTTATACTATAAGTCTATACTGACCCTTGCGAGATTGGGCCGCCTGTGTCCTGACCCGTGCAAAAACTTTAAAAAAAAGCTAGAGTCAGGTGCGCGATAGCTCACAACACAATATTCGCGAAAACATTCAATATTTTCATTCGAGGCCGCTATCTTTATCAGTGATACCACTATAACCATAATGCAAAGCGCCACGAAAACGTAATAAGGCGAATCATCAATTGATGAAAATAACTGCGTGGTTGAGGCATTTTGGCAATGGCTTGTCGAAATCAAGTAATTATGGCTTTCTGTACACTATTTTTAATCCACTTATTAACTTTAATCCCGGCTTAACCGTGTTTTAAGCTTGCATCATCTTGCTAATTTCTGTTTGCATTGGAGCGATTCGATGGTGCTCGTTCGGACGATGCATTATTTTGCCGGATTATTTTTCGGAATTAATTTAGGATTTTGAAATAAATAATAAAAACCCAATCTGTTTAAAATATTTTTAATTTAACGAGTTCTTACTAGTTTTTCTGGTGTGGCAACAAGAATATTCAAGTTTCAACAAGAAAAGTCAAACTTTTGAAACGGACTGTAGAATAACATATACATTTGCATAATTAACGGCATCTAAAAATGATGGTTTTCATGTAGTCTTTGTACTAAGAGCTTCGCCGGAAAGAATAGGCTTAACTGATAAACCCAAAACCGTTATACAAATGGGGCCTGACACAAGGCTTAGTGCGGTATACAGGGTGTATAAAAAAACTGAACAGATATGGATTTGCTCTCAATTTCGCAAAACAGCTATTAGTATCCAGTTATTGATGTATATAGCTTCTATGGGTACTTATAATGTAGAAGAATAAAAAAAAATATTGTCGAACTCAAATTTTGTGAACCAGGCGGGTGTGTCTTTTCCAACAAACTAAAAATGGCTTGCGCACAAAATCTAGAAGCTTTAATCATATTTTGAGTTAATAGATGGAAAATTTGTTGGGTTTTTAATTACTGTACAAAATTTCAGACATCTTGCTTTAGTTTAAACCCTTTAACTATTCACGCAAACTTACATGTTTTCCTGAAAATCAGCTATTTGCATGCTTAATTAATGCCTTTGCCTAATTTGCATATGTCAGCAATACGCAAATTAGGTAATTAAAGGCATTAATTAAGCATGCGAAAGGTTGATTTTTTAGGAAAAAATGAATAGCAAAAGGGCTTAAACAAAAGCAAATTGTCTGAAATTTTGTACAGTAATTAAAAACCGAACAAATGTTCGATCTATTAACTCAAAATATGATTAAAGTTTTTAAATTTCGTGCGCAAGCCATTTTTAGTTTGTTGGAAAAGACACCGGTTCACAAAATTTTTGAGTTCGGGAAATTTTTTTCATTATTCTATATTATAAGTACCCACAGAAGCTATACATATATCAAAAACTGGATACTAATAACTGTTTTGCAAAATTGAGAGCAATTTCAAATCTGTTCAGTTTTTTTTCATACACCCTGTAGTTTTATATTTAGCATCGAAATACACGACGAAGGAGAAACTCAATTGCATATAAAAACAACAACAACAATTAATCTAGTTATAGTTACAACTACGCTAAATATACTATGATAATAGTGTTATCTAATTACCATTAACCAATATAAAACATTAAATATGGCTAGAAATAGCCAATCAGAGCTACAACCGAAATCCCGGCGTTTGTATGGCAAAAACTTTCAATAACATTTGTATCAATCCTTTCTTTTTTAATCTTCGCCTGCCCGCCGCGAGAAAAATAAAAGCGTGATCGTGGGTTACCTCTTACAATAATTTTTTGTTTTATTTTCCAGGGATTTGAAGCACGCGGTACAATAATAAGTGATCGTTGGCGAAGTCAAATGAATCTTTTTCATGATGAACACAGTGGCTTAGTCACTAGAGTTCCTGCTCAGTGTGGAATAAAAAATCCAATAGGTGACCAACAGATTGGAGACGCTCCTGCAATATGCGATGAAAGACAAACATTCAACCAGGGTAAATTGACGGTAAAACTTGTGTTCGGTACTAAAAACGGACAGAAGAACCTACTGACGGCAGAAAATCTAAAATCTATTTGTCGCTTGGAGCAGAAGTTAATTCGTAAATACTATAATTTTGATGACCATTGTCACAAAGCGAATGGAACTCAGCATTGCTGTCCAAGTTGGTCCGTTGGGTATTACATTGCACTATTAAATGGTAATCCCTCGTGTCTGAGCATAAATGAAACCAAGGTAGAAAATGCAAGGGATTTACTGAAGATGTGTTCCAAATACTACCATAACGGCACGTTGAAACCTGAATGCTGGGATTTTAGGAAGAATCAAAAAGGATTAGGACGATGCAATCAAGTTCCAGATGCTTGTACAAAATTTAATGCCGTTTATAATATACTTCATTATCTTGCTGACAGACATTTCTTGTCTGATGGGTCGGATTCCAGCCTTTCCCTTCGATATAGCCTCGTTCTTGTGCCTGTTAAAGAAAGCGAACATTTCCAAGTTGGTGTTTATAAATCACATTTAAAGGATGGCGACCTTAGCGATGGTAATGTTGTACTATCCGGATATGAATTGAGTAGGCTGAAGTTTGAAATCTTCAACGAGCGCATGTTGGCTGATCTATATCTTGCTGCAATTGCAATGTTCATTATAATGCTTATTCTCTGGCTGTACACTCGTTCATTCCTTGTCACATCCCTGGTTGGACTTATTGTGGTATCAAGTTTGGTTACAGCTTATTTCATATATACTGTCGTGCTTGGCATGAAGTTCTTCCCGTTTTTGAATGTTCTCACCTCCGTGTTCTTGGTCGGTATTGCGGCGGACGATGCCTTTGTTTATATAGACATTTGGCACCAGTCCATGCGCGAACACAAAGCCAAACGCGGGAGGTCTCAATTGAATGGAGATGAACGTGACCAGGAACTGATTCGTGTTACAGTAGACACAATGAAACACGCATCCTTGTCAATGTTTGTTACAAGTTTTACAACATCGTCAGCGTTTTTTGCAAGTCTGACATCAGAGATCACGTCCATTCGATTGTTTGGTCTCTATTCTGGTCTGTCTATTCTATGTATGTTTTTTCTTATGGTGACGTGGTTTCCTGCTGCGGTAATAATAGAACAGACAGTATTTTCTCGCTGCGGTCGCTGTTCGGCGTTTTCTGGCAAACTACAAGAAACTGTAGTCAAGGGCACTTGCAGAATCAGGACAGTAGTCGACAAATTTCTGGCATGGCATAGAGCATTTTTTACGGATTTCCTGCCGCGTATTGTCATTAAATTAAGATATTTTTTGGTGGTGTTTTTCTTTCTCCTTGCTGCTGGTGGCATAGTTGTCTCAACTGTTAAGCCAGGACTCCAATTACCTTCCTCCCAGGATTTTCAAATGTTCCACGAATCGCATGTACTAGAAAAATACCCATTGAAGTTGAAGAAGAATTTTCACTTCGAAACAACCAAAAGGTCCAGTTTTCCGATCAACTTAATTTGGGGCATCAAAGCAACTGATACAGGCAATCAATTTGATCCGTACGATATGGGAGGCCTAAACTGGGATAACGACTTTGATGTAGCTAGTAAAGAAGGTCAAAAATGGATCGTTACTTTTATTCGTCTATTGAAAAAGCAACCGTTTTTTGCTAAAGATCAAACACTGGGCAAAAGATGTTTCTTGGAAGAGTTCTTTACGTACATGAACAAGAATTGCACGAAGGACAACCGAATCTGTTGTAAAGATTCAACTTTTCCATATAATTCCACCATTTTTTCTCAGTGCATGCTACGAATGCAATGCAAAAGAATCAAGGAGAATAAGTTCAGTAGTCAGAGTATAACAGACGGTGCCCCGCTCTTTGACACCAAGGGCCTTTTGAGAGCCATCTCTTTGAAGTTTGACAGCAATGTGGCATTTACATGGTCGTATGATCCAGCGGACAGTTTTTGGAAAGAAACAGAGAGTTGGGCTCTTACGGAGTTTAACAAGGCGCCGTCATCCACGAATGGCTGGTTTATAAGTGAGCTACAATTCTACGATTTGCAGAAAAGTTTATCCAAAGGAACATTTATATCAATGAGTATCTCCCTTGCTATTGCTTTTGGAGTGATGCTGCTTACAACAGGAAATGTATATATCAGTGTGTTTGCTATTGTTACCATTATATGCGCCCTAGGTGTGACTGTTGGCTCGCTAGTACTCATGGGATGGAAGTTGAATATTTTAGAGTCGATTACGCTGTCTGTCTCTGTAGGTTTATCTGTCGACTTTGCATTGCATTACGGAGTTGCATACGTGTTGGCTGTAGACAAGACTGACAGGAAGTCCAGGGTATCCTTTTCTATGGCTGGTATGAGTTCGGCTATCACTATGGCGGCGTTTACCACCTTTGTTACAGGTTAGTATGTTAATAATAAGAAATACAGTATCTCCATAATAGCAATAATTATTCATTTCAAGCGATCAGTTCCCATAGGTAGCAAAAGTTAATCAATGTGTGACACGATTCTGCTAGTAACAAAATAGTTTTAGTTTAAATTAAGGTGCACTAATGCCCGAGCCAACGCCGTTCCGGGCGTTAGCCCGGGGTACTAATTTCGCCCGGCTACTTACCCCAGAAGAAAGGAAAACAGCGAAGTCTAGAGAGAAGTAGAGAAGAGAAATGGAGAGGGTGACGAAGAAAGGTTAAGAAGGGGAGAGTTACAGGCCTTAAAATATCGGTCAAAGAACTGTCTGACAAAGTGTTCGATGACTTTGAGTATGAGTCGGACATATTTAAGTTCAGTTTGACTTGGAAATAAGTATGAATTCAGACACACAATTTAGGAAGTCATTTGAATCTCCATGGTAAAAAACCCGAGCCTCTAGCCCTGGACTAGGGTACATTTTGAATTACGTTGGACAAAGTTACAATTAGGTCGGACACCATTTCACTCAGGTCGGACAAACAATTAATCTCAATTTCACTTAGGTCGGATAGAATGTCCGGTGGTTTCCTCCTTACGTCGGACAACTTCACGAATTGGTCGGACGTTGTCCGTGACCAACCGATATTTTAAGGTCTGAGTTGCGAAGGGAGATGAGGGGAAATCGTGGAAACATAAAAAGAAGGGAAGGAAGAAAGGAAGCTGGTAGGGAAGGTAGAAAAAATAAAGGAAACATACAAGTAAGCAAGCAAGGAAGTCAGGAATGTACGAAGAAAGAAAGAAAGCAAACACGAAAAACCGGAAAGAAAACGAAGACAGCAAGCTAAATAGATCATTAAACTTTCATCTTATTTTCACAACCTTTAATTCTGCAGGTGCCATTGCTTCACAGTCAAATGTGCTATCTTACATTCAATTGGGGCAGTTTCTGATGATCATAATGTCTGTAAGTTGGGTGTATGCAACTTTCTTTTTCCAAGCAATGTGCTCTATCTTGGGACCAGAAAACAATTCTGGTCAAATGACGGTATCCAAGCTTAAGGCGGTGTACAAGAGGCTCAGAGCGTGTTTGTGTTGTACGTATGATGACTCGGATCATTATCAGATCGTCAGGAAAGAAGATGGCACAGAGGTAAAAAAAACAGCACGAGTTTTGTATGTCAAGTAGAATAACTGAGATTGGACGAATGAGTGACAGAGTCGTGCATTTCGCACTTGTGTTATTGTTTGCCTCTTACCCTGGCAAGGAATTTGGGATTGATAAATTCTTTATTAAGCGTTTTTCCAATATAAATACGATAAAAAGAGAATGTATAATAAATGCAAAGTAAGACTGGATAATGTTAAGATCTTGCCAGTCTGTAAAGTGGCTGCGTCAACATGAATTCGAGCCCGCAAAGCATCACCCTGACACTCTGGTTTTCAGTTTTTAACGTAATCCTAGGGACATTTTGGCAACCTGGAATTTAAATTAAAATTTATTGAGATAACAATTATTCAAGATATTTTAAGTCGAGCTTTTATTAATTAGAAAAACTGAGGAGATATTATTTAGTGCATTGAACCAATTGTATATACATAATTGTATAAATATGAGTTACACAGGTATTAATATTTATGTAATTTTATTCAACACCTTGTGAAGGGTCCGTATTTATTACTCAATATTGAAGGATATTATGTTCTATAAAAATGAGTTAAAAATATGTTAAGAATATGAGCTGGTATTCAGATTCTATGTATTTGATGTGGCTTTTATAGTTTTGAATTTTCATATTATTATAAATATATATAGTATTTAGATTTTGTTGTAAATATACATTTACTGAAACAATGCTTCTATGAAATTAGTATATACTGTAGTAAAATGAATGCATATATTGCTTTAAAATTGTATAGATTTGTTTACGGTGTTTTGATTGGGTGGGACGTCTTTGATTGACAGCTTTTAGCACATAACACGAAAGGGGAAAGGAATGGTTTAATCATTAACTATGGTTTAATAGACACCTTATATGATCCTGGTACCCAGTGCCCCTCGGCCGCGCGCGACCTTCATAGGTTCTGGGACATACGGAACCGGAAGTACAAGAAAACTTAGTTTAGTTTCTGATGCGCATGCTTATGAAATTGATACCGCTATCTCAATACTAGGATGAAAAACTGAAGTACGAAGAAATAAAATACTTGTGTTTATACATACATATTTTGATAGAGTACATGTAATTTTGCGTTGCGAAAACGCTCAACATCACAAAAGTATACAATTCACTGGCAAATTTTCTAGCCACGGTAACGATATATTCGAATTAAACAGGGGGAAGGGGGCACCCGTACGTCACAGTCAGTGCTTCCAATCCCCCCCAAATAATTTCCTTACCAACTGCTAAAAATCTCCTTATTTTTGACAAAATTTCCTTGCACTAAAGTTGATGAATTTTACCTAGTTTAAAACTGACATTACAATAATTTATCCTGAATAATGGCGTGTTTCTCGAGCTAGAAGAATCATGGACATTGCAGGGAAATTTCCTTGCAAATGGAAGCACTGGTTTCACAGACAGGGGGCAAACCGGCAAAGCCGCCCTAAAAATAACCTGAGTATCAGGCCCTAGGTATTGAAAGAGGGCCTGACATAATTCGCCTCCATACCTGTAGCGGACAACCGGAAATATGCTACAACCGGCAATAATTTTAATTGGCTGATATTCTGGGGGTGGAAAGCCCGTAGAGGCGAATTGTGTCAGGCTCTCTTCAATACCGTGGGCCTGATACTCAGGTTACCCTAAAAATAAACTATAAGCAGTGGCGTAACTAAGGAGGAGGGGGCCCTTAGGTAGCGGTCATAAAGTATGTGCTACCCCGGGGCGGAGGATATTTTTAATTTTGTGAAAAAAATTTCATACCCTCACTAACTTGTCGGATAATATTTGGTACCCCATCAAGATAACGGTCTCAATGTTTTATACCCCATCATAAAACGATAAGCTTACGGAGTTTATTCATGTCGATATGACCTGGGGTGTGCTGATTGGGCTAAAAAATTCTGTTGAGTAATTGCCATTATCCTATAAGTTTTATTTTTAGTAAGTTTTATCATCTTTCTTTAACTTAAAAATAACAAAAAAGTAAAATTCAAATCCAAAATGCTGTTTTTTGGCCCCATTGAATACGGCCGCCTGTCAAAAAATGGCGAATATTACCAATATTTTACCCATTTTGGTTATTTTATGTAAAGAGATAAAAAAACCCCAACATTTTGGATGTGATAATTTTTTAGTTCTTTTACATTCAAAAGACATACTTTTATGTTATGGCACACCTCAGATGTCCATAAACACCACCATTTTTCTTTACAAGCTGGCATTTCTGTACCACATGAAAAGACATACAACTGAAACTGACCTGTCTCCCCATATAAACAATCCAAATCATTTTCAACATCACTGATTGAGTGATTTCACCATCATCACTGTGACACTGTCATTGTTGTCATATTTATATTCCATAAATCGCATAATATTTGCAATTGCGCATTCTGCTGAAACTCTAGCTCTTTTTGGTGCCATAACTTCTTCAGTGTAAACCGAAGAAACAATGAACTGAATGAAGTCGATCAAGAAAAGTTTGTAGAAAAATATGAAATGGCGACCATGTTTATAACTAGGCCAATATTGGCTAAGTGTAACACAGGTGGGCTATGAGCCTGCAGTATAGTTTTGAAAACACAATATTTATAAATATTTATACTAAATTGGTTTCATATTCTGGTTCCTAAATCTTTGGTGTTTGCTCAACCTTGCAGGTACAAAGAAATATGTGTATCTGTATATATAAAAATATTATAAATAAGTATTTTATATTATATAAGTATTTTATAATATACTATATATTTATATATTTAATCTCTGATATTCATATTTAATATACTATATTTTACTATTTTATATAATATATTATGGATATTTTACTTTGCAAATATATCATGTGTAATAATCCATCTTTATATGTTCTCGAATGACTCTAATTAATATACTGTACTAATATACCAAAAAATACTGTCCAATCCACATTTTCCCATTTTTGGCCCAGACACCTTGTTTGACAAATGTTGTCAAACGTCCAGATAACGTTGAATTTTCAGAAAATCAAATGATTCATTTGTTCAGGAATGACGGATAAATATTTATTTGGGTGCGCTCATTGTGCGCACCCCCGGTACAAATAGGGTTAAAAATGATTACACTGTGTATTAAATATGATGGTACAATAATCTCTCTTACAGCCATTCTTTGAATAATATTTGTGTCATCATGTACTCCGGCCTCCACACAAGCTCATGAAGAGGAATAAAATCACAACACAAAGAGCAACTGCAAGGTAGAATACATGAGCAATGGTCAAATCTTTTATGAGACAATGATGGCAGTGATGTATGAAAAATTATTTGGACCATGAACGGAGCCATAATATTAAACTGTATTAACACAAATTTTGTATTGAAACAAACAAATTTTGTTTCATACCCCCTCTTTAAGGTGATAAATTTATTTCATACCCCATCCAAATCCCTGAAAAAATTTCATACCCCATCCCAATATCCTCCGCCCCGGGGTAGCACTTACTTTATGACCGCTCCCTTAGGCATATTTGGCTTGGGGGGCTGTTGACTGTTGTCATGGTTTGACTTAGGCCCGGTGCTCTCACAATCAAATTTTCGAATTCCTTAGAAAAAGCTCGAAAATTCCTCAGATTTCCTTAAAATTCCTTAAATTGGTAAAATTACAACAAGGCCTGATCACAGAGTTGCAAAAAGTGTTTTTTTCACCTGATTTACCTGAATTTTTCGAACTGAACGTTCTTTAAAACCGTATTTTTTGAAAATTGGAAGTTTCTAGGCCGTCGGAAATGGCATTTTTAGAGTCTTTCCTACCCAATATTTTAGTATTGCCTAACAATGAAGATAAGTATTGCTACTTTCAGTTTGTAATGGGAAATCGAGAAAATTTTGGAAATTTGGAGTCTCCAGATCGTCAGAAAGGGTATTTCGCAATTGTCTCCCTGCCACAACACGTCTCAACGTCTTTAGTTTGTTTGATTGTTAACTCCAATTCAGATTAGTGAGTTCACTATTTTATGCCCTGAGAATTACCTGAATTTACCTGAAAATCTACAGAATATCTACCTGAAATTGTTCATGAGCAATCTTATGAGTGTTGCACTCTCCCCTCCCCCGGTCGCTAGGGCCCTGAGAACTTAGAAAATCTGTAGATTTCAGAAGAAACAGCATACACTGACATTTAAAGGGGAAGTCAAGTCCGTTCTGCGCATCTGTTCTGCGCATAACAATGAGAGGACCTCTAATGTGAAAATTGCCCAAATTTCGAATGTTTCGAATTTTTCTGAACATAAACTTTATTTCATATTCATTTAGAAGCATAGCGAACCAAAATTGTGTTAGTATTCAGACAGTACATCATATTTTAAAAAATGCAGCAGTTCAAAATGTAAACAAACCGTTTGTTTACATTACGGACTTGACTTCCCCTTTAACTTTTGAGAATTTTAATGGCAAGACAGCCATATATACATTTACGACATAGAGAACATACGAATATATGTAATTATGTGCATATAATGTTGCTACTTTCAAGTTTAAATCTCATTTGCGTGGCGTGGTTATTCTCCGTCAAAACGTTTTTAGTCCAGGATAAAATGTTTTGGAAATTCCTTAAAAAAATCCTCAAAAACCTAAATTCCTATTTTTAAGTTCCTTAAGTTTTCAAAATTCCTATTTTTAAGGATAATTCCTTAAAAGTGAGAGCACTGCTTAGGCCGTGGGATGAGCATCCAAAAGATGCAATTCCGTTGCACCGGGTCATTCCATTTATTATCCGTACCCCCCATATGGATGAGCGGATTCCTATGGGTCAGATATTGGGAATTAGCTGATTCCTTGGGCCGATTCCTAGTGGTCAGATATTGGGAATTGGCCACAGACTCGTCGATTCCAACGGGGTACTTCTCTGAAATCCGATTCCTACAGGTAAAATTTTGACCAGATCTTATCTATGAGGGGGGAATGACACTGTTTTTCTGCATCTGGCATCACAAGATTTACACATTCTGAGGGTTTAGGTGTATATCGTCGATTCCAACGGGGTACTTCTCTGAAATCCGATTCCTACAGGTAAAATTTTGACCAGAGCTCATCCATAGGGGGGGTGCGGAAAATAAATGGAATGACCCACCCCTCGTGGAACTACGTAATTTTCACATGAATAAATAGATAAAAACTTACTTTATCAGAATCCGTTGCTCCCCAAGTGAAACAGGTGCACAATTGGCAGAAAAATCCCTCCAAAGTTTGATATTTTCGCGCTTCGAAATATTCGAACCGCCATTATTTTGGTAGCAAATACGCATGCGCAACTCAGTCAAACTCGCACTGCGCACGCGCAGACTATAAAAATAGATTCTCACTGGGGGGTTTCCCCGATTTCCTACGCAAAAACAACAAAATAAAATCACAGAATACTGATCAAACCTTGTAATATAAATACACCCACATTAAATATTGTTAAAAACAAATTGTATATTTTGCTTGCTCATATGCTAAATCACTTCAATTCATTGGCTATTGTTTCAAAATACCGTTTAATTCTACTTTATATTAACATCCTAATTCAATACAAATTTGTGTGAGGTAAAAAACCCACCTGCATCAAACAGGACGGAGAATAAAAAATATATATGCATACAATTCACACGATCAAGGAACAATTAAAATGAAATATTTGTGAAACACTCTTTATCCGTTTGCCGACGCTGATAAGACAATATGACATACCGAAAGATTGGAAAGACAAATAATATGATAACAGTGTTTCCAAGTTCATCCCGGGCTTTAAGGGATATTTATATAAACTCGAAATTCATAAAAAAAAAATTAGGAGGAAATATAAAATCCATAACTTCATTAGAGCTATCTATAATTGAGAGAAATGTTTTCATCTTTGAACCCAGATTTTCATCAGAGCAATAAAATCCCGCTTATTGGATCCTGGCCAAGGGCTTGCACGCTCAAAACGAGATTGCATGTATTCTGCAATAAGCTGTCCTGGCTTTTGTCTGGTAAATTTTACTTCTCGTATTTGAACTATTTCATGTATTATATTTATATTGTGACATAAGTTGGTATTTAGCCACTATCTAGAATAACAAGGAACGATTCAGCCTGGTTTTTTGTGTCCACACTAGTTGACTTTTTCTTATAGATTTGCTGCTGTGAGTTTCAGCTTCTCCACCAGGGTGCGTTTTAGCTTCTCAGACATGACCATACTGTTAACCCTGTCCATGAGAGGGATATATGTGTTGATAATATAAATACTGTGGATCCTAATAAGAATATCGAATAAGTAAATAAATACTGATCTACTCCACTGATAATACCTACATGCATTACCATCATTGTTCACCTCAAATCATTAATAATTCATGAGCAAATTAGCCAACCATATTGCTTTATTTTGCTCACATGATAATACTGGATACTTTATGAAGTATATTGATCCTGTAGTGGCCTAGGACTGGATAAAAATTAATTAAGTAGTGATTTATTCGTACATGAGATGTCATTTCAAATCCTCCAATTCGGACTGGACTAGATTTCAAGTCCTCACATTTTGATCCAGTCCTCTGCTTCGCCTCGGACGTGATCAAATTGTGTGTACTTGAAATCTAGTCCAGTCCTCATAGTCGGATTTGAAATATTATCCATTGTCAAATCAGATGCCAATGGTGGCCAAGGAAGATTCAGTTTTGGTATTTCTGGCACCTTTTGGTGAAGAATCAATGCAGCATTGTATAGAATTTGTAACTCATTGACTTTAGAATTTCCCTCAGTTTCTGTGTTGGAATTCACATCATCATCATCATCAATGGTACAGCTCTCTTCATCAAAGTCCTCATCATTGTTTTCAGACTTAGGGCCTGTTTATATGGAAGCCGGGCTGGCCTGATAAGCGAGACAGCCTGGTAAGCAAGATCTCGCTGTGTAGATATTTTTATAGTAAAAATTATCATGCGTTTATATGGACAAGCAGGCTGGCCCGGGTTGCCGTTGTTTGAAAGAGGCTAGATCTCGCTTATCGGGATGGAAATTTCTCCATATAAACATTTACAAGCGGGCTATCCTGGTTGCCAGGATGAAAGTTCAAAGATACCGCCGCAAGCTATTTTTAACAACTGTCAAAACAATACAATGTAACAAAATTGTCCTGGCAAGCGGGATGAAAGTTTCTCATATAAATACAAGAGAAATTCATCCCGCTTACCGGGCTGTCTTGCTAAGCGGGCCATCCCGGCTTCCATATAAACAGGCCATTAATTGACATATGTTCCTCAACCAATTCAGAAGAATCCAAATTTTCCACACATACAATCTCACTAACATTTCTCATTTTCGGTACACAGAACACAAGTTGGGGATAACTTTTCATCAGTCGTTGCTTGAGTTTAAAAGCTCTATATTTAGATGCATCCACATTCTCAGTGTCCTTAGCAATGATAACAAATTTCTCCAGCAAATCTTTCATATACTTTATTTGCTTATTTCTGATGACCTCCATCTCAATTACTTTCTTACAGAAATATACATCATAATTCATAAGACTTCTCGTACACTGATGCTCTCGTTGCTTCTTCGTCTCTCTGGTGAGAAATATTGTATAATTGCAGTAGCAAACTTTGTGATAGCGGATTTCCAGAGCTACACAGTCTTTCCCCTGGATTTGCACGAGTATCTGTTGATCATTCTTTCTCTCGGCAGCTGTACATAGAAGATCAGCATCAATTGTTTTTGCCAACATGAGTGAGGTTCTTCTCTTCTTAGTTACCTGGTGTGAAACAAAATAAATTATTAAACTAAATATCTGCTAATAACAAGGTTGGATGTTTGTAGCATAGAAACTACTTTACCCTAAATAAACTTAATTGATCACAATTCAATATATTTTAAAACCAAACCTGAGAATGTTGTGCACATTGCGCTAGTATTATAGCTATCAAAATGACCATACCTTGTCTAGTGAGAACCACGAGGCGTCTCTTCCACAAATAATACATATCTCTGGGAGTACATGCGCGTTTCTTTTAGGCAGGGCCTTTATATTTATAGCTTCTGCGACTGATTGACGTGTAATTTTTCGCCTTGGTTCTATTGCCTCCACTTCCACGTGTGATTCTTCGGTAGAAGTTATAGTTTTAGAGCTAGTTCCTTCTCCTTTTTCTTCTTTTCTCTGTTATCTACGGATCTTCGGTTCATCGCAAAATCTCTTCTAGCATTTCATATGATGGTTCCATTCTAAGTTAATGGTGTCAGAGTTCTCTCGATGTATGAATTGACAGATCCGTCATCGATGTTCTCGTACGATTTCTTAGCTATTTCAGCTTGTTGACACTTAAGTTTGGCCCATTTTGACCTACACTCAAGAAATTTCTTAAGCCTTTGGCGTGTAACTTTGCGAAGTTGCTCCGTAACGCCATAAAAATGCATAAAACATGAGGATATTCGAGTTTTATAAATATCTTCAGCCATGTTTATTTGCATAACTGAGCGTGTTTCCACCATTGAACTATAAATAAACTGGAAGGCTAACTGCTATGATGAAGGCCTATGATTTGATGAAGCCAAAATAGTTTTTCTGAGTTATGAGCAGAAATACTTGACCCCAAACGTCGGGCTATATATCAAATTGAAGCTATTGAGAATTGCTATTCGGTGTGGAAATTTCAAGACTTCAGCGAAAAGAAAACTATTTAAAAAATACAAAAACAACTGCAAAACGGCAAATTATCGGTAATTATGTTTGTAGTTTTTCAACATTTCCCTTTTAGCTAAAGTCTAGAATTTTTTATACCAAATAGCGTTTTTCAATAGCTTCAATTTGATATATGGCCCAACGTTCAGTGTTGAGTATTTCTGCTCATAACTCAGAAAAACTAAAATGCACTGGCTTCAATTTCCCCCCCTGAGTTAGCCTTCCAGTTTATTTATAGTTCACTGGTTTCCACTTCGAAGCATGTGCGTTGGTTGTGCGCGTGCGCAGTGCGAGTTTGACTGAGTTGCGCATGCGTATTTGCTATCAAAACAATGGCGGTTCGAATATTTCGAACATATGATTTCGAAGCGCGAAAATATCAAACTTTGGAGGGATTTTTCTCCCAATTGTGCACCTGTTTCCCTTGGGGAGCAACGGATTCTGATAAAGTAAGTTTTTATCTATTTATTCATGTGAAAATTACGTAGTTCCACGAGGGGTGCAACGGAATCCGTTTTCTAAGCATCTTTTGGATGCTCATCCCACGGCCTATGAGATCAGAGGACTGAGATATTATATTTATATATATTTTTTTAATTTTTTTTTTTATTACGCCCGTAAAAAATATCAAGTTATTTACATTTATTTTTCTATTGTTTTGGATAGGCTAGGAGCCTTTTCTACCTACTAGGCTTTTTAATTAAGACCCCTATAGACTATACTTACAGTATTTCATTCTATTTAGTCAGTTCGAATAATATATTAGATTGAACAAAGATAAAAGCGTATATAACAAGTATAAAATAAAACATTAACATGCATATAAACTTAATTATATATATTCGAAGTGGAGGATACTATATATGTATATTTACAGTAAAGAAAGTGATAATATATTGATGAGATATTATATTTATATCGAATATTATTGAATGCTCTGGAAAATTCCGTGTCTATTACAGTAACAAAACAGCTAGTCTCCAACACATATAACTTTTAATAAGAATAACTTTTGTTTTATTTGAGATGGAATAAAAAAATCAGCTACCGTTATCGATATGGGGGCTTTATTATTTATCATTATTAATTTTGCATTTTCCCAGGCCTTGGCTGATGGGGCCCCTAACTGTCGGGGGCCCTTAGTTTTTGAACTAACCCTGCCTATAAAATGAGCGTTATGCCACTCAGGGCCTTTTTTAAGGATTTTCCCGTGGGGGGGGGGAGCATTTTTTGAAAAGGGACCTTTCTGTGATATAATATTATTAGAGGGGGATAGCAATGGCTGAAGGCCATGTGTGTGGCCAATATACCACGCATGATTGGGGGAGGTCTGGGGGTTGTACTCCCCCAGAAAATTTTTGAAATTTGAATCCCGGAAATGTCATTTCCTGCATTCTGAGCATCCAAATTTGCTCCAAAATTTATGCTAACTATACTTGTATTTGAAATAAATAAAGGAAAAAATGCACAAAAAGTAACTGAAAAAAATAACCATAATTTATCATTACTTATTAGAGGAGGACAGCAATGGTCACGTGTGTGGGGTGTACTCCCGGCTAGAAAATTTTTGAAATTTGAATCCCAAAAATGCCATTTCCTGCATTCTGAGCATCCAAATTTGCTCTAAAATTTATGCTAACTATACTTGTATTTGAAATAAAAGAAGGAAAAAATGCACAAAAAGTAAAAAAGAATATTAACCGTAATTTATCATTACTTATTAGAGGGATAATCCCCAGAAAATTTTTGAAACTTGAGACCCGGAAATGCTATTTCCTGCATTTTGAGCATCCAAAAAATATAAAATTATTAACAATAATTTATCATTACTTAGTGGTAGAAAAACGTAACAATTTAAATCGATTTTGTTAAACAAGAACAAAGGATAAAGCCTAAAACTTACTTTCCATTTATCTATTTGTTCGCTATTTATCTTCTTCTGGTTTGTTTGGGGGGTGGTGTGCAAAATGTGATGCCCCCCCCAGCTTGTATGTTAAAAAAGGCCCTGATGCCACTACTACTGACTATAAGTTGTCTATGTCTTGGTTAAAAAGCGTGAACTTTTTGCATCGCCAGCCTCCAAGTATTTTCAGACTATGCCGAATTTGGCGGTGAATTTAGCCCTAGTGATACTAACTTACCAAAACCAATTATGAAGCAATTTATTGCAGCATTTTTGGTATCGAAATTCTTCAATTTTGTGTCAGAAAGTGCAGGAAATGGCATTTCCAAGTTTCATTTTTTCCGGGGAAGCGTGCCCTCGGACACCCTAGTTCTCGCCCTCCTAACTTTAATTATCGCTATAAGTACCTAACTTGGCGGAAAATTACCCGACCCCCAAAATAAAACCGTTCCGCAGCCACTGGGATCATTCGATCAATCAGCAGAATTCCCTTACATTTCCCATCAGAATTTTCTATTTTTAGAAACGATGACGCTAGAGCCACAGTTCTTGAAATATAGTGACCAAATTTCGTGCACTTAGTAACATTGATATTTCAGTATAATGCTAACATCAAATTGAAATTTACTCAACAGTTAATTTACTTGACCACTGATATTCCCAGATCATTAAGGGGCTGTTCACATGAGCCGGGTTGGGCTGGCCAGGTTACCGGGCTGAAACTTGATCATGACCAAGCCTGAAATAAGGAAGAACAACTAAAAGAGTTCTGGTCAACCACAATGCAATGCGTGCGTGCGTTTGTTTACGTTTCTGTCACGTTCTGGGCCAGAGGCAGCCTTTTTGTGTGACCTCGAAAATGGCGGCAACAATTGATAAAAGTAACGGAAAAACGTAAACAAAAGCGCGCATTGCATTGTGGTTGACCAGGACTCTTTAAGAAATAACTATTTGTCAAAAAAATACTAATTCAAATCGATATTGAAGCTTGTACAGAGGTTTTTTCGCTAGCCCGACTACCTGGGCTGGTGACTTTACATAGGACTGAAAATTTGACTCCGTTTGACTCAGGTGAGATCTCGGCTAGGCTGGCTGGCCTGGTTTACATGTAAACTAAAATTGTTTTGTTAAGGGATATGTATTAAACCGGACGCCTCGGCTAACCGAACCAGCCCGGTTAGCCGGGCTCATGTAAACAGCCCCTAAATTCCAGCCAAAACCATCATTTCAATTTGGCATATATCCCCACCAAAACCTCGGACCCGCGAACAGGCTGCGTAGGAGACTAATATTGCGGTATCTCTTTCGCAATGACTTACATGACGTTGTACAACCGTGGGAGGTCACAGAGTCACAGAATAGGGCGGGATAATCGATTGGGAAGCGAAATCGAACCGTTAACCGTTTGAAACCATCAGTGTTTGAAACTCGCTGGTTCGAAACTTTATAATTTGCTTGACCATTTTTATACAGCTTGACTGTAAGCGCGAAGTCTGTCACTGGCAACTGGCTTTAGCTAAACATGGCAAGAACTCCTTTTAGTTTGTTAGAAGAGCCTGAAACTCGCAGGCCTTCGAAATTACGCTTGGCTGTCATCGTGTTGTTTGTGGCGCTGCTTGTTCTGACTGTGGTTTTCATTTCGCTGTATGCTGTTGAGAGAAATAAATCCAGTAACGAGGGAAGCGCGTCCACGAAACAGCAGGCGAATGACACAAATCCTTCCACAAGTATGTCGCCAAACACGACAACTAGCAAGTCGACACATGGTCCATCACCAACTCCATCAACTAAGACCTGTAGTTCTCCAGCTTGTGTCATTAGTGCCGCAGGTATGTATGTATGTACAAACAGAGTGAATGATACTATCCTTGCTTTCCTTATCAATGAAAATGATCATTGGGCTATTGCAATTTTCATTCGAACCCCCCCACCCCCCTTTGTCGAGGAACCTTGGAATTCCACAGGGGAGGGGTTACCACAGACCCTTAGAATTTCCAGGTGGGGGGGATGTCCGGCCTAAAATTTCCAGGGGAGGAGGCATTTTATTGTATACTCATTGGAAATTCCATGGGGGGCTCCAAAATGAGATTCTTCGACAGGGGGTTGTATATATATTTCCATAGAATATCCACAGAGAAAAGAAAATCCTATGAATTACCACGGGGACCGGATTTATCATTTCGGAAATCCCACAGGGGAGGCAAGAAAGAGTTCCTCGACAGGGGGAATAAAAAACTAAGAAAGAGTTCCTCGACAGGGGGATCGGGGGTCGGATAAAAATTACAATAGCCCATCAGGAATCCAGTCAATAAATCTGTGACAATTAGTAACAGTTAGTCAATTGGTATTCAGGGTCTGAAATATATATTTTCTCAGTATCCAAATGGGATATACCAGGATTCAAAATTTAGTATCCCCCTAGAGCTGAGAGTCCAGTATCCCACGTCTAGATACTTGTTACCGGTACCATAAGCATTATATCCCGTCCCATACATTTAGGTTTCCATGGTTGTTTACATTTACATGGAAATTCCGGTGATTCCATACGGAAAGTAAATGGAAAAAGCATATTTCGACTGTCCAACCGGAACTTTTCTGGAATGAACGGTTTGTTTGAAATGGTTGTCCTCTCTTACCGATTGCAACGTTTCAACCGGTAAATTTTGTTCCATTTGTACATATTTTTAAAGTTTTTCACCAGTTCCAGGCTCTTCTTGATTTAACAATTGGAATTATTAAATACTTTGCCAGTGCCTTCCGGTCAGTCACTCTAAATGGAAAGTGCATAATCCGAGTGGGATTTTCTATCCAAAATTTTGCTTACCATTAGCACAATTTCAAACCGGATGGGTTTTCCATGTAAATGGTAAACAACCCATAACTCTCACTGCATTATAAATTACAATAACAACAGGAGACTCGACAGCAGGCTTTTAGCCAGGGTCCTAAAAGAGGGTGTCCAATAAAACGTTCCTCTGGAAAACCTTTGAAGTAATTACGTTACTTCATGTCAGTATCTATTCCAAGCTCATTCGAAATTTTTCAAACACACTTGGCTTTGTGAGTTTGTGCTGCTATTCTTCTTTACTATTTCCACCAAATTGATCAAAATGTCAAATGTATAACAGGGCTGCAAATTACTGTCGGACATCGGACAATGTCCGACTAAATTTGGCAAATGTCCGAGCAAAAGTAATTTTGATCGGATATTGGTCCTATCTCAAAAAAATATTTGTCACATTATACATTTTTTTGCTGTGACAAAATCCAACTGCAAACTCACTCAGTTCGCATTTTGCAATAAGGCATTCTAGCATTTTACTTAACGTTGCGTCGTATAATGGCTAATGACAAAAAAAATAAATCTATACAAACTTGTCCCGTGACTTATATATATATATATATATCTTGTGACGTATATATGTCCGACCAAATTTAGTGATGTTGGTTTTTGTCCGACCAAATTCAAGTTATGTCCGACCAAAATTAAAAGTGATTGGACAAATGTCCTGTCAAGTCAAATATTTATTTGCAGCCCTGCATAATAATAATGAGAATTGAAGCTATTTCGTTTCAGATATATTAATATACTTGGGGAAATAATTGAAAATAATTTCCCTTTCCCCCCAGAATTCGGGCGTCCATTTTTTGTTCTAGGGGTGTCCCAGGACGCCTGGACGCCCTTCTGGCTAAAGGCGGCCTGCTCAACAGTCAACAACTAAACAACACACTAAAATGTACGTATAAGTGGTGAGATCTCTGGCTCATACTGTATGAACACACTTAGCGGGGCAGCCTGGCAAAGTGAGCTGGAAATTGTGTCACAACGCATGCTTTATTCCATCTAGAAAGTATCTAAAAATTCAAAACAAGTAATTAGAAATCAACAACATTAAAACTTCTGAAGCAGTTTCTATCAATAAAAAATATAAAACAAATATTTCATTCCCGCCAAAAATTGTGTGGGAATTTCTGTGGCACTTGCCAGTCTAGCTCGCCTCATTTGAAACAAACAACAGCTTGGTCCGCAGGGTGTTAGCCAGAAGTAAAAAAAATCCGTGTTTACCTGAAATTGGGAAATTTATTTTAGCCTGAAGCCGGGCATTTCTTCGTGGGTCTGGGGGCATGCGGTTGCCCCCTCTCGATTTTTAAAATTTCCCACATTTTGGGAGAAGTTTTGAGCAAATGTAGTAATTATAAACATGTTTTTAAATAATGGCGTTTTAACAACATTGAATTTCTATAACTATTTTTTGGCTGACCCAAATTGGGAAATTGCGACCTCAAGGTAATTGGGAAAACCGTGTTTAACGCGGAACTTTTGACTGTAGCTAACACCCTGGTCCGGGAAAGCAAGCTAGCCCATTTTAATGGGCCAGCTCGGCTCAATGAACAGGCCCTCAGGAATATTAAGGTGCTGTTAAACTATGCAATTGGTATCTTAATTTTGTTGCCACACAAGTTGCACAGCAAGGTGTCAGTGAGAGTTCAATATAATTCTTAAAATTTGGTGTCAGACCAATAAACTCCCGTTTTGGTCGGACATGATCCATAATTGACACTAATTATTTATAGAACTCAATAGAGATATTTATGCATAGGCCAGTCACAGCCACACTTTCCCAATAAGTTGTGGATGGATTTATGTTTGTTTGGCACAAAAATTGCTTTGTTTTAATTCTGCAACAATTGCTTGTATATATACAAAGAGAACAAAGTGTGTCTGGTGGGGAAACATTTGTTTCGAAATGTTAGAGTGATATCAAGTCTCATTTTTTCAAATCCAAATCGAACCACTTGACTAACATAAAATTTGTTGTTGTTGTTGTTGTTCAAAGCGGTCTGTTATTAATAGACGCAAGTTGGTTTAATTATTAATTGACAAGATGCATATGGCGAGTAGTTATACAGCTTATCTTGCTATATTATTATTCACATCTGGATCGAGACGAAGTCAGAATCTGTGATTGTGTAGAAGACAGAATCTTCGTTTGCATGTATAAAAAATTACATATTTAGTTAAATTAAATGTTGCATGAATAAGGGAAAAAATGTTCTAATCAATGAAGCAAAATGCATGGTCGGCCATGATGTCAGTGCAGAACAATCAGTAGACTGCTGTATCAACATTTTGCATGGACAATGGTCAGTGGCAGATCGTTATATTGAACTTTGCAAGCTGGTGTAGCATGCCTCGCAATCATCAAATCTTGCAACATTTTTGTGGCAACAAGCATTGCATGGAGTAGAATCGGGTTCTACTTTTCGCACCGATTGTGGCAACGCTGCAATGCATAATTACTGTAACCCATTGAGTGGCAGCACTCTCCTCCAGACAAGTAAAATCGCCTGACATTATACAGAATGAAATAATAAAGTGTGCAGCATCTGCGTGCATTGCCATACTTAAATGGTTAACAGGGTGCATGGGCAGATAGTCTGATTAACCCGTTGAGTGGCAGCACTCTCCCTCTGACGAGTAAATTTCTGGCATTAGACAGAGTAAAATAATAAAGTGGGAGCACAGTCATAGATCTGGGCGCATTGTTATTTAACCCATTGAGCCACAGTGCGCCCTACTTATTTTTTTTTTACTTGTCTAATGCCAGACGATTCTAATTCGTCATTGGTTAGTTCGCTACGGAGTCACGTGTGAGATAGCGCGGGAAGAATCGAGCGGCAGTTGCAAAGGATTCTTCGAGCGAACGTCAACAACAAAAAATTTCCGCTTAAAAATTGAATAAAAATGGCAGAAGACACTTCGGATATGGAGAAAGAACTACTTATAGAAGAAGAACAACATCAGAGTGACGAGGACCTGTCTACGAACGAACGATTTATGGAATTGTTATCCAAAATGAATGATAATATTTGTGCACTAGGCGTATCGCTAAATAAACGAAAACATGAGAGCTTTGTCTCTGAAGCATTGCTGGGAGACGCGGAGCAGGGACTTGAGGGACGACATCACAATGCCAATGGCAATGATGAGAACAATTCGAACGAGGACGAACAACAAACCGCCAACATGGCGGACGTAGACGATCCCTTGCTGGACGAAATAGCGAAGTCACTTGACGAAACTGAGCGAACGGGCGACCCCGTCTCAGATAAACTCGCACTGATTGCTAACAAACGCTGGAATCATAAATTAAGTGACGACCAGCTAAAAGAAAAGGCCGAAAAATACCCGCGACCAGCGAACTGCGACAAAGTTGTGAGCCCACGCGTAAACCCTGAAATATGGGCTAAATTAACAAGGGCTGTTCGTGGCGAGGATCACAAGCTCTTTCGTGTACAAACCCAGCTTAGCACAGTCACTAACCTTGTAGTGCAAGCTACAGATATTAGTCCGTATGTTGTGACCCGATATCGTTCACTTTCGTTAAGCATGTCTTAGATCTGAAATATTTTTACGGGAACTAACACTTTCGAACACGCTGAGTTCAAATCCGAAAAGTTCCCACTCCGTAGACCCGCAGTTTTTTCACAAAATGCTATTTTATCTTCACTAATTTCACAACAATTTTTTTCATTGTTCAACAATACGGATCGATGACGATACACGATTATGTCACTCAAAATGACCAATTTCTATTAACCATGCTTTCTTGTAACAAAAGATCGGTTTTGCTCGAATTATTTTGAGTTATGCAATCTTATGCGTGTTGGACGTAAACAACATATATTGTCTACAACTTTGAGAAGGTACAGATAACGCTTTCTAAAATCCTCATTTCTAGAGATATTTCCATAAAATCACAATGACGTTAATGTCAAGTCTTTTAGCTATGTCACTGGCGTGAAAAATAACTCTCTTAACGCGATCAAGGTATTTAAAACAAAAGTAACGCGAAGCCAACGTAACGGCAAAGATAACGCTAAAACGAAATATTGTCGAATGGTTGCAGGTAGAAGACTTACGACAGGATCAGTCTTAAATAACCTTACGATAAATGTTCACATCAAAGACAAAGATCAGTCACCAAGTAAAAAATACGCTCTGTAAACTTACCGCGAAGTGGAGAAATGTGTGCATGAGCTGTTTATTTGATGATTTCGACGTATATAAAAGCCCTCTTTCCAATAATATTCGCTTATCGCACAGTATAACACCAACTGATGTAATAGTTTAAATGCAATGATAAGTTATCTCTTGAATTACGTCTTGGAAACCGTGTTGGAAATTTCAGTGCTGATCCATTATATATAGATTACCGTTTTATATCTTTGTATAAAACATTTTGATCGCATGTAAGGAATTATTTCTCAGCCCAGAGACATAGCCCAAAGACTTGACATTAACGTCCTTGTGATTTTATAGAAATAGATCCAGAACTAAGGATATTAGAAGGAATTATCTGTACCTTCTCAAAGTTGTAGACAAGATATGTTGTTTACGTCCAACACGCATAAGATTACATAACTCAAAATGATTCGAGCAAAACCGGTCTTTTGTTAAAAGGAAGAATGGTTAATAGAAATTGGTCCTTTTGAGTGACATAATCGTGTATCGTCATCGATCCGTGATGTTGAACAATGAAAAAAATTGTTGTGAAATTAGTGAAGATAAAATAGCATTTTGTGAAAAAACTGCGGGTCTACGGAGTGGGAACTTTTCGGATTTGAACTCAGCGTGTTCGAAAGTGTTAGTTCCCGTAAACATATTTCAGATCTAAGACATGCTTAATGAAAATCGTTTTCTAGGCACTTTTCGAGGTCACAACACACGGACTATATGCTGTTGAAAGCAAAATCTGACCCAAAAAGTCTAAAAATTGATGACCTAATGCGAATGAACACAGATGCTGTTGCTCTGGTTAGTCATGCTAGCCATGAGCTAGCCCAAAGAAGGCGCGAAATCATCAGACCTCACCTTCACAGGGATTATATTGAGCTATGCTCACAAGAAGTTCCTGTGACAAGCTTACTGTTTGGAGACGACCTCCAGACAGAATTGACCCGTATTCGGGCAACAAACAAAATTGGAAATACAACAAATCCATCATCACACGCGCCGAGTCAACGCCGGATTTATAAGCCAAGTACGAGCAATTATGGCAACAAACAGCCTCCTTTTTTATGGCGAGGAGCCCAGTCGTACAGACGACTGGAGAACAACAACAGGCGGGGTCAGAACCGAGCTCGTTTCGGGCCAACGAAGAAATAGACTCAGAAGCAATTAAAAAACTTTCACAAATACAGGTAAGCGAATACGAGTCTCTCGTGCCATCGCTTATTAAACACTTTGAACACAAGGTTGCCAATTTTAAGGCGGGCCAGCTTAGTACTTCTTATTTTGCTTGGAAAGAATTGACATCTGATCCAGAAATTCTGGAGACAGTGTCTGGTCAACGCATAGAGTTTAACAAGAACCCAGTACAATTAAATTTACCCGTATAGCCAAATTACAACAAGGACAGTTTATCGATTCTGAAATCCAAAACTTGTTGAAAAAAGGTGTCATTGTAGAATCTACACATGAGCCTAATGAATACATTTCACCCATATTCCTTCGACCTAAGAAGGATGGATCACATCGCATGATTTTAAACCTAAAATGTTTAAACCAATCTGTTACGTACCAACATTTTAAAATGGACACAATCTGGACTGCTATACGTATGATGCGTCTGGGATGCTTTATGGCATCCATTGATCTTAAGGACGCATACTGCTCTGTCCCGATTCACAAAGACCATCAAAAACACCCGAAATTTCAATGGCGAGGGAAACTATATCAGTATACATGTTTTCCAAAATGGATTGGCAATTTGCCCTAGGAAGTTCACAAAACTCCTTAAACCTGTCTTCTCAAACTTGAGAAGCATAGGTCATCTATCTGTAATATTCATAGATGACTCTTATTTACAAGGTGCCAACTTTAATCTATGTGTTAAAAATGTGAAAGATACTATTACATTACTTGACCAAGTGGGCCTTGTTATACACCCTGAGAAATCAATCCTATACCCTACTCAGAAACTTGTATTCCTAGGTTTTCTGTTATAGACTCCATAAAAATGATTATCAGCCTTACAGGAGAAAAAACACAAAAAATTAAGGAAGCTTGTCAAAAGCTTCTACAATCTCCTCAACCTACAATACGGGAAGTGGCTAGAGTCATTGGCATGTTAACAGCTAGCTTCCCAGGAGTAATGTTTGGGCCATTACATTATAGGCACTTAGATATGGATAAAACTGTGGCCTTGAAAATAAGAAAAGGCAATTATAATAAGACCATGACTCTTTCAGATGAGGCTAAGCACGAGCTGAGCTGGTGGGTAAGCTCAATTGAAAGTGCATACAATGTGGTTAGTCACGGACAAGCTGACACAACCATGACCACAGATGCCTCAAAAACGGGTTGGGGTTGCTCCCTATCTGGCACACCTACAGGTGGCTCATGGGACTCTGGAGAATCGGAGAAACACATTAACTGGCTGGAAGTTAAAGCCATATTACTCAGTCTAAAATCATTTGTAGATCATATTTGTCAGAAGCATGTAAAAATCCTATCGGACAACACAACAGCAGTCTGCTGTATAAATCATATGGGGACTAGTCACTCCAAGGAGAAAAATCTCTTAGTAAAAGAGATATGGGATTTTTGCATTACGAATAACAATTGGATTACTGTAGCACATATCCCAGGAAAACAAAATGTCATTGCAGATTTTGAATCGAGGAGGGGGTACCAATGACACTGAGTGGGCCCTAGACCGAGCAGTGTATGATCAAGCAATCCAATTACTGGATGTGACACCCAGTATTGATCTGTTTGCCTCAAGGCTAAACTATAAATTCAAGCCTTTATGTTGCATTCAGACCTGACCCTGAGGCTCAAGCCATAAATGCCTTTCATATCTCTTGGGTAAACATGTGTTTTTATGCATTCCCACCTTTTTGCATTATCAACCAAATATTACAAAAAATATCAGAAGAGAAGGCAACAGGCATAATAGTAATTCCACACTGGCCGACCCAGTCCTGGTGGCCATATCTAACCAATATGTTAATAAATTGTCCCCTTATGTTGCCTAGCACACAACAACACTGATGTTACCATCCCATCCTCAGAAGATACATCCTCTACAAAAGAAGTTGCGATTACTGATGTGCCACTTATCGGGGGATTACTTGAAAGTCAAGGAATTTCAAAAGAAGCTGCTTCAATCATCGTACAAGCATGGAGACCGGGGACTCAAAAACAGTACAAATACTATTTACAAAAGTGGGAACAGCACTGTTGTGAACGAAGTATCAATCCCATTTCTCCAAATGTAGGGACTGCAATTGATTTTCTACATGAATTTTACAAGGAAGGATTATCCTATAGCACATTAAACACGGTACGCTCAGCTCTATCCAGCGTTGTCCAACCAATAGACAATTTCACATTTGGAAACCATCCACTGGTAACCAGATATATACAAGGAGTATTTGTAAATAGACCAGCACTACCACGTTATAAACAGATCTGGGATGTGTCTGTGGTTATAAAATATCTCAAATCTTTGGGTGAAAATACACAACTCTCTCTACAAGATCTGACTATGAAGACAACCATGCTGCTTGCCCTTGTTACTGGACAGCGTTGCCAGACCATACAGGTCTTGAACATTAAACAGATGGTTAATAGTGATGACATGTGGTCCTTTCATATAAACAACTACTTTTGAGTTTATACCAGAAACCACATAAACCAGTTTCATCATAAACCAATTGAAAGTAATCAAAAAGAAAATTTGGTCATAGACTCTTAAAAATTGTTAACCTTGATTAAGCATGTATCGTGTTGATATTGTGTTATTAAAGCAAAGTTACAGTGCTCATGGTCATTACTTTAAAGTCTCACACGTGACTCCGTAGCGAACTAACCAATGACGAAGTAGAATTAGAAAATTAAACGAGACTTACCTGTAAGGTGAAGTTTGATTGAGATTCTACGAGTTATTGGTTAGGAGCGAAGGAGTCACGGACCCACCCTACGGTTTTACCCAGCCCTACGGCTTTACAGCGGGTACTAAATATCAATGACCATTCGCACTCTCTTTAAAGACTGCCGCTCGATCCTTCCCGCGCTATCTCACACGTGACTCCTTCGCTCCTAACCAATAACTCGTAGAATCTCAATCAAACTTCACCTTACAGGTAAGTCTCGTTTAATTTTCTAATTCTATTCCTTTGATCCCGACCATAGACCACGTGACCCGCACAAGCCAGCTGACGATGTATATCGTACAGTAGCTGCTGGCCTTACTACTTTTACGTCAACATCTCCACGTGCTGTTTGGTTTCCAAGGAAACGTGCTGTCGCCATCGCCAACAACAAGTTGTTCGTTGAGAACGAGACTGGAGAACTGGTGACGACTCATTTGAATTCTGATGAAGAAATTTTGAAAGCCTTTCATGATCATTTTCCACAATTTAAACAGGACACTGTACGACGTGCTTTGGCAGAATGGAATCGCGTATCTCGGTGATTAGTTTTATACAAATATGCTAAGATAACTGTCTTTTTACTGCCTTTTCCTGTAAAATCTTCTGGCGTTACTAATAATAATAATAATGATTGTATTTATATAGCGCCTATTCATTGCTGTCCTAAGCGCTTTACAATGTCATATTACATTTACACTGAAATTATCTATATTTACAGTAAATTTTGTTACAACATTAATGTTAAAAAACAACTAATGAGTTACTATGAATGATAATTAAAACCTAAAAGTAATCAACAAATCGTAAGTTTGTTTAAACAGATGTGTTTTCAATTCAGATTTTAAAATGTTGATGTTACTAATCGATCTATATAATGTTCATTGGGAGCATGTATGTCTTTAAATTATAATGTTGTTCTGCAAAACGCCATTAAACAATCTGTCATCCAAAGACTTGCTTTTACGTCCCATACATTTAATACCACACGAGTTGAAACACTCTCGCATAACATAATTTATTTACAATATAAGGTCATATAGTATAATTTCTAACTTGCTTGCTAACGTTTAGTATTTTGTATTACCACAACAAACCTTTTCGCGCGGACTATTTTAATTTTCGCTCAGTTTTAATATCGCGCACCCATGGTTTGCACACGAATTCTCTTACCGCGCGAATACGAGTTATTCTACCATATATGCATGTATGTTACATCTAGATCTATTGGTTTGATACATCTGCGCACACTTCGCGAAGTATTGGGGGGGTGGGGGGGGCAACATTTAGTTTTAATTTATAACCTACCAATGGTTGAAAATACGCCTGTATTACACCTGTTAATACGCCTGTATTACATTCCATGCTTCAGCATACTGGAATAATATAGCTAGACATGCGAGCTTTTCAAAGTTGTAAATTGGATATAAGCCACGTGATCAGCACAAACGTTTGCCAAATTGGTACACATTTTATATACACTGCATGCGAACTTGTTTAGACGATGCAATTATACCTGAAAAATTATTAAAAGAACTTCGACTTTCCGACCCTTCCGGTCTGGAAGTTGTTGGTAGTCGACTAATACAAACTTCTGCTTATTAAAGAGGTTCAAATTTGACTTCCACTACCTATGTCATGTAATGACGCATATTTCTTCGTTAATTTATCATGGAGTTTGCATTATTTAGTATTCTTCGTTGTTGATTTGTTTGAGCCAGTTAAATATCGTGGTATAATGTGATTTCATCCAGTGTATATTTGTCTTAATACTTTCCACAGCTTTCTTGCCAGCTCGAGTATTACTGAATAAAGACGAGTGCTTTTTGATAAATTCTTTCACCTAGAAAATAACAAGAAAAGGCTTTATGTTTTTCACCAGTTAGCTTATAAGACGTTTTGTCGAACAGCGAAAAACTATAGGTTTTTCATGCAGTTTTGCGGAACTTAATAGTTAATATAGCTCGTAATTTCTGTATTGAAAGGGTACTATCTTTGTGTGGAATCACTTTCTGGAAAGAAATACATCGTTTTGTCTTCAAAATAAAACTAGACCTTTATTTTGTAGTATGTTCATTATATAATACTATAATAGTAGTTTAGAAATAGTTGTCAATGCGTAAATTATATTCAATATTATTGTCAGCAAAAGTTTTGACCTGAGTAAGATTCCAATTTTGAAAAGTACTAAGTAGACTTTGAGAATGTTTCCTTAATTTAACTGATATCGCGCAATTATCTCGATCATCAAAAACGTTTCCGAAATGAAAACCATTATAGAAAAAGTATATATGGGAAAAGTACTGTAGAGTTATGCCAAGTTTTATTTCAAATGCCCTGTAGTGTAAGTACGTTAAAAGATAAATTCACACAAGTAAATTCATTCACCTCATCTAAGTGGTATTTGTCGTTGAAAGTGTCCGTTAATCTTTGTAACATTATTCCAAAGTCACTGGAATCTTCACCCACGCTATATAAACATAAGAAATTCTTTGGTCAGTTCTTAATCACAGTGACTTTTCACCATATCTAACTCCATATGAATATTAGTGCAATTATTATGGTGAATAAAAATATTATTTAGCATGCAATTTATTGTTTCTTGCCGACCATTAAACCGCAATGTGTTCTCATGCGCCCTACTTTGCTACTTTAACGCCAGACGACTTTTCGCCACCGGTAAATTGTTGGACATTATGACAAGTATGGAACAACTCGGTAACAACCTTGTTGATGTTATCAGACTTGTTGCAAGGTTGTTCCAACAAGTCCAATACAGTCATGATGTGACAATATTGTGACAACCTTGTGTCGTCAACCTTGTAACATTCTTGTTATATCATGACTGTATCAGACTTGTTAGAACAACCTTGTGACAAGTCTGATAATGCCATCAAGCTTGTTACAAGTTGTTAACAGCTTGTTCCAAACTTATTACAACAATTGGGAACAAGCAGTACGAACACAACTTGTCGACAGCTTGTGAACAGATTTGTAGCAACTTGTTTGCAGACCTGTAATAACTGGTGAGTTTTTACATGTGTAGAGCAGTTTTAAGCTCAGTAAACTTGTAAGTTTCCAAATTGAATATTGTCCATGAATATAATCTCGGATACCGTATTTTCACTCTTACCGTTTTACGATTTTGTCAAAGTTTGCTTTATAGAAATCCCATGCTTGAAGCCTCCCCACAGGATTACGGCTGACACCAAGGATTACAGATAACATATCTTGTTTTCTGATTTTTGAGCCTGTGAGTGCATTGTCTAGCAGTCTACAAATGGACAGTTATATATATTAGTCAAATCTTCTTTTACATTATTTTATATTTTATGCATCACAAGGCTGATAAACAATTTTTCAACGGAAACTGTTATTTAAGGCAATAAATGTTTAATATTGATGCAAGCGAAATTTTATAGACCTTTAAAATGTGCAAAACCCTCGGTACTTTTAATATTTAATGGTGTCATATTTATATTTTATAGTTAGCTTGAAGTACTCTATATAAGTATAAGGCAGCAGTGATATAACGTTGGTTAAAATTAAGTTCGGAAGAAAAAAGATTAACAATTATTTTTCGGATCAGTCTATCATTGTCACTTAACCTCTGCAATAGCCAAGGTTGTCTTGTCGAAGTTAATCCCAACATTATTTTGCCTTTATGAGTTGCGTCACTTTCTTGATATTTTGACCACAGAAATTCCCATTCCGTAGTTCCACCATGTTTTATCACAGTTGAGTACACAGTTGCACGAAGATGAGGCGCTATTGAAAGTCTGTCCAGAATATGGAATAAAATTAATAATTACCACCACATACACACGTAAATATCTCACAACTTGTCAACTATATGTATTCGCAACAGGCTTGTAACCCGCTTGCCAACAAGTTGTAACAATGCTGTTATTTTATCAAGTTGCTACAAGGTTGTCACTCAAAATTTGTTGACAAATTGTTGAATTACAGGACGATAATAAGTTGTTGGAACAACTTGTAACAAGTCTGTTGAGCTCAAAGCAAGCCATATCGACAACTTGTCAACAAGCTGGGAACAAGCAGTACGAACACATCCTGTTGGCAAGTTGTTGGATCAACAGCATTGCTACAAGTCTGCTGCAAGTTTGTTACAACTTGTTTTTACGTGTGTAATACAATTAAATGTAGGAAAGTGTACAAATCTTACGTTTCATCGTTGTCAACAAACTTGGTAAAAAGTTCTTGTGTGATATCAATACAGCCTTGATCGCCATGTGCACACAGAGACCTTAACACGCTCGTTCGCAGATACCTTAAGAACGGTAGAATATGTTTATTATACTCAAACATAATATAGGGGTACATACAATCAGCTGCCGTGGTTTGTGTCTGGACTACATGAAAAAGATATCTCAAACGTGGTGGTGCAGTGTAGGTAGTATTCTTCAATAAACTGCCGTGGTTTGTGTCTGAACTACCTGAAAAAGATATCTCAAACGTGGTGTGGTGGTCCAGTGTAGGTAGTACTCTAAATTTAGCCCCCTACCTTGGTCATATCTTTCAGGATTGAAATTTATTTATCTGGTCAATACTGACGGGTATGCGGGTCCATAAGCCCAGACCTCATGGAGCTCAGCGACCATGCCCTGCATAGCTTAGTGACCCAGGAACCTCCAATGACGAAAGGAAAAGTGTTTTCAGGCAATTCAGACACGAACTACGGCAGCTTATTTTTATATATCCTGATTCAAATAGTGAATAGATCACTCTAACATTATTTGAGCCATGTCCCAGCCGTCTCACGGATAAAATATATTTCTTTACTTGTCTAGTATTGTTCCCTTATCTTCCCATTTCAAAGACAACTCCAAGGGCTTTAACTTCTTCACAAGATATTTCTAGAAAATTTGAGGCAGGATATTCACTAGCTCATTGATAAAATATATTTTAATGCTACACTACACTGAAGTAAACTACTTTTACTTATACTGGATAGCTCTATCAGCTCTAGACAGTTCTTCCTAGAGGTCCAGTATGGATAATTTCTTATTGATAGGAAAGTCAAACTGTTCTAAACATACGATAAATTTATTTTAATACTACACCTCATACAAGCCATAAGACTCCGTCCTGGATATCATTGAACCAATAAAGGCGAGAGAACTGAGCGCACTTGACCATGGGAAATATTCAGTTTCTTTGTTAAGATATTGAGTTAGTTTTAGCGGCACTGTCATTGGTAGTAAACCAGCTCTGGAAAAAGGAATAATTTTATTCATTTCACTTAATTCGTTAATTTGTTGGTAAATCAATTTTGTTGTTTAACTCGTTCATTTAATTTTACTGTTTCAAGATATGAAGACGTAGCAAATTTTTTGATCATCTCACCTCGCCAAATTAAAAGCATCATCCAGTAAGCCACTACGATCTACCGCGCTGAACGCCTGAATGAAATAACGAGAGAAAAAAAAAATCCTGAGGCCATAAATAAGTAGTTGTGTAACAAGTTTGGAACAAACTGTTGTAACAACTTGTAACAAGCTTGATGGCATTATCAGACTTGTTACAAGGTTGTTCTAACAAGTCTGATACAGTCATGGTATAACAAGAATGTTACAAGGTTGATGACACAAGGTTGTAACAATATTGTGATATCATGACTATATCGGACTTATTGGAACAACCTTGCAACAATTCTGATAATATTAACAAGGTTATTATACGACTGTTAAAAAGTTGTTCCATACGTGTTAACAACTTGGGACAAGCAGTGCGAACACAACTTGTTGGCAGACTTGCTACATGATGTGAGATTTCTTGCGTGTGTAGTTGAGAAACACAGCAGTGCCACTTTAACTTGGCCTCTACTAACCCTGTGGTTATGCGTGAGCTGATCACCAAGTAGTTCCCAGTTTTCGTGATCATAATTGACGCGGTATAATCCCATATGACCTACGTTTGCTTTCAACCATCCTGTTTTCTTGAGTGGAAATGAAGTGCCTAGATAGTAATATGTAGAGACCTGAGATACAGCGTGAGCTTTTGAGTCAAATTGTTTTTGCAATTTCTCCATTTCTGGGAAACATGTCTGGAAGACAACAAACACTATTTCCAGGACTTTACTTACGTGACGTGTGATTCATCCACACGATATGTTCTTTATCCGAATCTTGAGTGATATATGTCAGCGGAATGTACCATTTCTTGTCCCCGATTTCATTTTTCCTTTGATGTTTGTCCAAAGAAGGATCGATAAGAAATCTTTCTTGCACGACATCAATGCCGTGTTCCGGTTTATCTTTATCAAGGTAGAGTGAAGACGATCTCAGAGAGACCACTGGATAGCCTTTCTGCTTGATCCAACTGTCCATGATAGCTTTCACGTCCAAGGAACTGACCTAGTTGTAAAATATAGAGACAATTTTTAACTGTTCTTTTGGAAAAATAGCTATTGTTCTAAAACAATGGCATACTATTGTTCTGGAACAATAGTTATTGTTCAAAGACAATCAATTATGTATTGTTCTGTGATAATGTTGACTAGTACAGGGTGTCCCAAAAAACCCAAAACTATTGAAATAACGTATTGTTAGAATTTGAATGGCTCAGCACTCTGCTCATAAATAAACTGTTTAAGAAGCTGCTTTAAATTCCCAAGAGCAGAAAACCGTGCGCTTTACAAAGATATTTTAATTTCTTAATAAGTCAATATTTAATATATGCACCCTGTCTTGCGTTCAGCTTAGTACTAGGGCATTCAAATTCTAAAAATACGTTATTTCATTTAGATTTTTTGGGATAACCCTATATGGCCCTGTATATCGTTTTTGGAACAATGGGTATTGTTTTAAAACAATGAATTACTATCGTTCTAAAACAATGGCATACTACACTACCTTGCTAAATGCGGCCCATAAATCATCTGCGACAGCATTTTCATAAGCATGTTTTTTCAAGTAATGCTAAAATAGAAAACGTAAATTAATAATTGCATACTTAGTGTATATCAATTTGAATATCAAAATCTTCATACCGTTAGTTCACGAAGAGTTTTTTAAATTTTCTTTCCATTTACATGATAGCATTACCTCTAATCCTTTGCGAAATGCACGATCACCTAGGAAACTTCTCAACATACGAATAACTGAAGCACCCTAGAGAAAGACAACATGGCCTTGTTGACGTTGTTGTTTATCAGGATTTTTTTGCTCACCCGATTGATCTAATGGTGAAGGATTTTGTAGGTGGAGATTTCAAGAGTGAATTTTCTATAATGTATAAACGAACCTTGTCATAAGATATGCCATCAAATATTTCATTTATCTGAGCCGGGTTATCAACTGGTACTGATATTGCATGAGTGTTGAGAATACTGTCAAATTCCAGAGCAGATTGGAATGTATCTGATGCAAACTGATCGAGCTAATTAAAAAACAAATGGTTAGTTAGTTTATCATAAACAAAACAGACTAACCTTATACTAGAATTCTATCAGTTCTAAACTGTTCTTCCTGGATGTCCAGTAAGGATCATCCGTTGATTCACATTGAATTCACGGCCTAGCCCCTAAAGTCCGAGCAAAAATGATAAGATCCATTGATTGTCTATTCAGGAGATGTAAATAAAGATGGTGAAGCACTCACCACCCTCCACTCTTTAGCGTAATCATTTGTACCAACATACTCAATGTAATTTGCAAAACCTTCGTTTAACCATAGATCATTCCACCATTTCATTGTCACCAGATTGCCAAACCACTAAAAGTGTTAAATTAAACTTTTTTACTGAAAAAAATTACGATTGTTCAGAACATCACAATCCTTGCATCAACCGTTAATTGACTACACACATAAAAATGCGCTGTGGTTGTAACAGATTTGCAAACAAGTTGCAACAAGGTTGTTGTCACGCCGATATCAGGATGTGTTCGCACTGCTTGTTCCCAGTTGTTGTGACAAGTCTGGAACAAGTTGTTATCACCTTGTTACAAGGTTCATGACGGTAACAGACTTGCTTACAAGTTGTTCCATCAAGACTAATACAGGCTGCTCGTAACAAGTTGCTACAAGCTTGTTGTCATCAACATGTTAACAACTTGTTCCAGACTTGATACTTGATGATACCAACTTGTTCCAGACTTGTCAACATCTGGGAACAAGCAGTGCGAACAGTGATCCTGTTGACAAGCGTATAGAACTCTATATCAGCAAATATAGAGACCCAAGTTTTAATAGGAAAATGGCTACCTATTGTTTTTGAAACCTTGTCACCCTTGTAAGTAATAAATTGTCACATTAGATTGTGCATACAGTTAAACTACAGGCAGCTAACCGCAGTCTTGCCGCTATGAGATCGCAGTTGAACCGCGCATAAACTGTAACGCTCGCAGAAAACGTTTTTTCAATATCTTTTAGCAAATTAGTATGTGGTGAAGTATGCACCCTTGTATACCACAATATCATAAACCGATACCGAGTCTCTAGATACAACCCATACAATGTATTTAACATATAATACCTGATGTGCCAACTCATGTGCGACGACGATTGCAACGAGTTGTTTGTCACCGGCACTGCCTGACTTGGGATTGAACAAGAGAAGATTCTCACGGAATGTCATTAATCCCCAGTTCTCCATTGCGCCAGCAAGGAAATCAGGGACTGCGATAAGATCTAAGTTTTTGAAGAAAATTAAAGAGTGGTTAATTTGCGGATCAAGATTTTTTCTAGCCTGTTTCAATTGAGATATACATTTCTTTCAAGCTGGGAGAGCCGGATTTAATCCTTGGTGGCACCTCTACTCAAGGTCTTAAAATAATGGACCTTTCCCCTTGTAACTAACATTTTGATCTACACAAGTCCAGACAAAAATTTCATCACAGCTTGAAAGAGCGTCACAAAATTAGTAATATTCCGAAGTTTCGTTGCGAAATGTTGTAAAATGCGGATAATATAGCCTTGCGAAATTTGCCGTTTTTCAGTAATTTTGTATTACAAATGGGAAATTGATAATCAGTTTGGCAAACTTCGCAAGGCTATATTATCCGCATATTTTACAACATTTTGCAACGAAACTTTGCAATATTACTAATTGTGTGATGCTCTTTCAAGCTGTGATGAAATTTTTGTCTAGATCAAAATTTTAGTTATAAGGGGAAAGGTCCATTGGAGAGAAAGTGCTACATTTACAATGACACCAGTAATTCAGTAAATGGTTAGACTTTCGTGTCTTCTCGGATAAGGAAGTTAAATTAATCGTAGGTACCTTGGATCCCCTATCAATTGGGTAATAGCCTGTTGGGAAATCCGCTCACCAATCAATAAATGAGAAACTCAGTAAACTGAACAATAAACTAAACACAGTGGTTTGTGACAACTCTGTGTCATGGGGTTCGGTTTCTCAAATATGCAGTTGTCTGATTATAACTTCAGCCATATCATTTCTAGCGAGAAAAGTTTATAAACTGATAGAGCTATCCAGTTTAAGTAAGGTTAGTTACGTTTCTATGACACGTACCTATTTTTGGCAGTGGATATTTTATATTAAAGAATTTCTCGTAGTACGTCAAAACATGTTGAGCAACGTCCAGGCCAAATTTCGTTTGTTCCAAAGCGTCTTCTTTCGCCCACACACGAACCTGGGAAGAACAATTATGAGAGCCTGTCAGGAATGGAATGGAATGGAGTGAAGAGATTGGAAGAAGATGTGGGGTGGTAAACATTGCGGAGAAGGTGAGGGAAGCAAGGTTGAGATGGTATGGACACGTAATAAGAAGAGATGAAGGAGAGCTGGTCAGAGACATTATGGAATGAAGAAATCAGAAGAAGATGTGGAGTGGTAGACATTGCAGAGAATGTGAGGGAAGCAAGGTTGAGATGGTATGGACACGTAATAAGAAGAGATGAAGGAGAGCTGGTCAGAGACATTATGGAATGAAGAGATCAGAAGAAGATGTGGTAGACATTGCAGAGAAGGTGAGGGAAGCAAGGTTGACATGGTATGGACACGTAATAAGAGGAGATGAAGGAGAGCTGGTCAGAGACATTATGGAATGAAGAGATCAGAAGAAGATGGAAATAACAAAGGATTGAAAATGATGAAGTATAAGAATAAAAGCAGTTTAACCCATGTTAGTTTGGAACTAGAGCTGTTTAAAAGAAGAAAATATATATTATTTTGTATATTCTTCCAGACTCTTACTTTTATTCCAGTTTTCGTTTTGGTTTCAGTGAATTTAAAATCGCTAACAACAAAAGCGACAAGATAAGTGCTCATTTTCACGGATTTTTCAAAATGATCAAGGAAAAGTCCATCTTGTTTTGTCGACTTCAACAGAGGCATGTTAGAGATTGAACGATGTTTCTCGTTTCTCAATATCTTGATCTCAAATGTGGCTTTGAATTCAGGCTCATCAAAACAAGGGAAAGCACCTCTAGCATAGACTGGCTCGAATTGTGTTGTCGCCAGCACTCTGGAAATAATTTGAAATAAACTTTGAACAAAAATATTAACAATGATAGAGCTAGTTTAAACGTCTCTTGACTGATAGCTCTTTCATTTCTGAACTGTCATAACGAATAGCTATAGTCTCCCCTAAGGGGTCTAGAGGAAAGCCGACACAGACACAAATTAACATCAGCACAATTTGGAAAAGTCATTTGAATCTTGGCAATGAATTTCCGAACCCCACGGTGAAAATTCCGCACTTGATTACACATTTGCAGTTCACTTTTTTTACACTACTCTGCATTTAACATACAAGCCTCTAGTCCTAGGACTAGGGTATATTTTGTGATTTTGATTTATGTTGGACAAAGTTACAGTTAGGTCGGACACCAATTCACTCGGGACGGGCAAACAATAAACCTCAGTTTCACTGAGGTCGGACAGAATGTCCAACTCAGGTCGGACAGAATGTCCAATGGTTTCTACGTCCGACAATTTCACGAAGGTGTCGGACAATGTCCGTGACCTACCAATATTTTAAGGCATGTCAAAATGAATCTGAAATTATTGCCAACTTTTTTAGACTATCTACGTAGATGTTCGGAAAGGATCATCCCTCATTTTCCTGGTATTCATACGGGAGAAAGTACTATGATTATTTACCTTTTCTCCCCATCCTTTGTTTTGTATTCGCTCTTATAAAACCCTTCCATATTATCAGCCAGTTTTCCATTAAAATCCATCGCGAGACTATATTCCTTATCCTTTTTCAAATCTTCGTCTAACTGTAATATCACTAAATTCCTTTCCTTATTTTCGGATACGTCTTTCACCTTAATTTCAGCATCTTTATCGCCGAGAACGTTTATATTCTTCGTTTTGAGATCCTTCATATGGAATATTATTCGATTTGTCGACTTGAAACAACGTAATAGGATTTTAACTTTTCCCTCGAAATGTAAGGAATCTAGATTTGGGTGTAGGAATAAATCATAGTGTAGTGGTCTGATATCTTTGGGAATTCTGATCAGTTTGTAGTTGAATTCTCTCCCCTTGGTATCCAATAGTTTATTTTCAGTATTGTGCTCTTCTCGCAAAGTTCTTTTTAAAAGACTTCCGTGAGTTATCGGCAGAATAGCAATAAGTGAGACCACTTTTAAGAGTTGAGAAAATTTTAAGCTATATTTTCTCGACATTCGTTGCGCCATGTTTGATGTGGAAAGGATATTTTGATGTTTCGTTCGTACTGATATCACTAACTGGTCATTCAGTCATGTGGAACAGCAACAGTCTACCTGCTGAGATTCGCGATCAAAATTAAAAATTCTGCCTTAATACGTTTATCTCGTCTATAACTGAGAAATAAAATCATCTGGCGTTTGAGATAATATAATAGATATATACCTGGACGAACTTGGGCAAAGAAAAGGTCATTTGATAATTCGTAAATATAAACAAAACTTCGACGTTGCGCGCGAAGGCACTTCGTCGGCTACTATATATAACTTCTTGCTCTTATTTCTGCTTATATTCTTCAGTAGTAGTATATCGAAGTTTTGGTTATATTTTTCAGTAGTGGTTATATTTTTCAGTAGTAGTTATATCGAAGTTCTGCTTATACTCTTCAGTAGTGGTATATCGAAGTTTTGGTTATATTCTTCAGTAGTAGTATATCGAAGTTTTGGTTATATTTTTCAGTAGTAGTATATCGAAGTTCTGGTTATATTCTTCAGTAGTAGTATATCGAAGTTTTGGTTACATTTTTCAGTAGTAGTATATCGAAGTTCTGGTTATATTCTTCAGTAGTAGTATATCGAAGTTCTGGTTATATTTTCAGTAGTAGTATATCGAAGTTTTAGTTATATTTTCAGTAGTAGTATATCGAAGTTTTGGTTATATATTTCAGTAATAGTATATCGAAGTTTTGGTTATATTTTTCAGTAGTAGTATATCGAAGTTCTGGTTATATTCTTCAGTAGTAGTATATCGAAGTTTTGGTTACATTTTTCAGTAGTAGTATATCGAAGTTCTGGTTATATTCTTCAGTAGTAGTATATCGAAGTTCTGGTTATATTTTCAGTAGTAGTATATCGAAGTTTTAGTTATATTTTCAGTAGTAGTATATCGAAGTTTTGGTTATATATTTCAGTAATAGTATATCGAAGTTTTGGTTATATTTTTCAGTAGTAGTATATCGAAGTTTTGGTTATATTCTTCAGTAGTAGTATATCGGAGTTTGGTTATATTTTTCAGTAGCAGTATATCGAAGTTCTGGTTATATTTTTCAGTAGTAGTATATCCTTCACACAGGCAGCTGTGTGTTATCGTCTCTACCCAGACAGACACCGACTGTTGGAGATTTTATCATCTGATAATTCCGGTCTGTGTACGAAACTAATCCGCCTATGACTATGTTCACAAATACGGAATTAGACGAAACATAAAAAATATATAAGCCTTGTTTTATATCTAGAACGATTCCAGTAAGGAACGCGCATTTCTAGGAAGCCTGCTCGTTCGCCTTCTGTTTACACGAAGGATAAACCGGACGATGGATAAACCGGCTTTGGTATAAATCAGGGCGTTTTAATAGGAGACAATGTTTTTCAATATCGCGTCGGTTGTGATGAAAGTGTTCAAAATCGAAAAATTAATAATATTTTGGCGTACCTCTCAAAATTACTTTGTTTTAGCTTTATTCTCTAGTTCATTCAGTTAGCTACCTTTTAAATGCATTTTCCGGTTCAGAAACATAAAATAGTAGAAAAAATTTGTCAATTAAAATATAATTATACTCATTAGTTTCGAACGCGTGTTACGTGACATACAAAAATCTCCTTTTAATCAAATCAAATAAACGCTATTTAATCAGACGTAGTCTTAAAAAAAGAGACTAAAAAACGCGTGTACTTTTAAAATATATTCCAAAATATTTACTCCTTCAAAAAATTAACATTTTCAAGCGCCGCTTGGGGACTATTTTTATGTAACATAAAGTACCCTTGGATTTGCGCAATACTTTTTAGCTCGCCAAGGTTACTGACATTGCGGGCAAACTGCCTTGCGTTTCTGTCAGATTCTTGCGGGTAAAATCGTCTGAACATGCGTTCTATCTGGTCAGCCTCTGCATAACCTATCTCTTGTTTAATGTCCACACGGCCAGGTCGTATGAGAGCTGGATCTAGTCTGTTAAGATAGTTTGTCGTCATAAATACAATCCTTTCTTCCGTAGAAGCAACTCCGTCCAAAGTGTTCAGCAGTCCACTGAATGTTACCTGCAAATAAAAACGTTTTGTTTACATGTTTCGTTTCAAACAATAAATACAGTCGAGCTCCTATTAAGCGCACCCCTTCGGGACGTCACCATGCAATGTGTCCACAAAAAGGGGTGCCCCTTTAATAGGGGTTTGCAACAGTGAACACGACAGGGGGTAACACCCAACTAATTTAGCAACAGCAGTGACCAAAGATAAACGTGTCAAGGGAAGGGGAGGGGGGTGGCAGGTTATGGTGTGAAACTTTCCAGCGAGTTCAAGTTTCAAGGAAACAGTTTTTCTTGGAATTACTTGAAAAACAAATTAAAGAAAGAAACGTTTGTTTTAGGAGATTAGCTCAAGTTATTAATTCAATTAAAAAGAAAATTTAGCTCTCAAACAAATTTCAAAGGGAAGATTTTTTACTTCAGACCTTGACTGCCTGATAGCCACTAGAACAAAGATCTGTCTTCGAACCTCACTCAAGTGAAAAAACTTCATTCTTTCAAGCATTCTTGTTGACATAGCCAGCAAAGATCTCTCATACATCCAAGGATAGCTCTGTGATGAGATATAAACAACTTACCCTATTCAAGTACATATTCTGTCCGCCTTGTTCATCTTCTTCTCGTTTCACAAATGCGGCGTCAATATCTTCCAGTAAGATAATACTTTGCTGTGGAGCTATGCTCATTAAATGATTCAAGCGATCATCAGAAAGACTTCGATCGCTCAAGTTCATAACACATATACTGTATTCTAATTCTCCTGCAAGTGCTTGGCTAAAGAGAAATGGGAATCAATCAATATTTGGAAGCACAAGGTCTGAATATAAATATACCATTTGTTAGCTAAATCACTACATACATAAAGCTTGTCTTGCCACAGCCTGGAGGTCCATATAATAAATATCCTCTTCTGTACGGAATACCTGGAATTAAATATCACTTATCATAATTATGTCTTTAGTAAGAGCATGTTGTCTTACAGTTGCTGATGCAGAAGTTAGCAGCTAACCATATGAATTTCTGTTCGGACAAATGCAACCAGCCAGATCTTGTCAGCAAGCTGGGAACAAGCAGTGCGAACACATCATGTTGACAAGTTTTTGGAACAGCATTGCATTTTTACTGTGTATAAGTCAGGCCAGCCTATACACACTGGTTTAATGAGTCATATTCTATACCTCTATCCATATACCACTTAGGAGAGTGTATAAAATCTTTAATATCAGCCAGGATCTTTTCAGTGACACCATTGGCCAGAATAACTGAATCTAATGGTCTCCGCCGCCTTGGGAAACCAAACTGTCTCCATTCGGCTCCCATGGGAATATACATCACCGTCTTGCCTTCTTCTCGGGACAAAGCCATCTTTTGTGCCTCTGCTAAGATCTCGAAGAAAAGTTCTCGTCGCCATCCTAGTGATGTTAAAGTGACAGTCTCCCAGGGAGTTCCTGTATGCAAGTCCAGCATGCCTTTCTCTCTTGATCGTTCCACTCTTATCCAGTGATTTTTATAACTACAACATTGAGTAATTGGATGTCGGTCAGTTTCAAAAGTGTTCAAATGAATGCATTTTATAGGATCTTTCAACTGTATTAAATTAGCCTTTTGCATGTGATGTGACCAAGCACTGTCTGTCATTTTTGGGTTGCAAAATCTCAGAGGAACTGTCTTGGACAGGGGGGGCATATCCTCCTAGTGGGAGGGGCACACCCATGTACCATGGCTCTCAAAAGTTGCATAAATCTGGGAAATTTAGTACACACCATGGTTGACATTGACTTTTCAGGGGGGTGGAGTGGAGACTACAAACATTATACACCCCCCGGGAAATCAGCCGATGCTAAATTTGTCAGATCCCCCCCTGCATGACTTACCTGAAAAAATGTGTTCCAGGGCTAGGAATAAAATCAAATTTAGTGTTAATTTTTCCCGTATCGTTTTGATGAAAAGTCGTTTCCACACTCAAGTGTTGCGCTTTCCTAGCGTTCAATGTTATCCATTGCAACAACCATTGAAAACTTCTGTCTTTACTGGGCACCTCTAACGTTATCATCGCATGTCGTCTGAACGCTATGAAAGCAAATTGACCTCCTTTACGAAGTACTGCCAAAGCCGTTCCAACACCAACCAGACCAAAACCAGCAGAAAAATACGGATTATCAGCCAGCGAAGCTAGTAAACCACTTTCTGGCATTTTAGAGACAAATTATGGCTATTTATTTGACAAAAAAATATGATATAGCAATATAGATTTTACGCCATATTGGATTCTTATTCACATACCGGGGGGGAAGCGACATTGTCAAGTCTTGTAAAATGAGGAATGGTTTTGCTAAATCTTTCTGTTTATTTTTCAATAAATTTTGATAATGTAAGACCGACTTTTTGTATAATAACATGTATTTAGTTTACCCAAAGTGTTTGCTGAACTTCAGGTTGCTTTTGGGCTAAACTTGGTGGATTTTGAAGAAAAAAATATACAAACACAAAGTAAGTTAAAAAATACATTATTATTAAGTTAATAAATAAGCATACATTATTTTTATAGTACAATTTTTTAATTTTTACAATTTATAAATTATTTTTTTAAAATTTATGTATAATATCGTTCAATTCTTAGCTCTCGCACAATTTGGTATATTCTTCTAACAAAATTTTTTCTATCAAACATCTAGGCAACGGCAGCCGTGATGCGTTTTTGTACGCATTTTGTTGCAGAAAATTTTTCCTTATAACATGAAGGCACATATGCTCCAAGATTTTGGGTTCAGTTTTCGTGTTATAAAGATATCTCCAAAGTGCTTTATGACACATGGTTAAAAGCGAGTGGCTTTGAAAATGCTGGTCGTTAAGCGTTGCGTTAAATTCCTGTAGTAGTCGCACAATGTTTTTGTGGCCACGCACCATTGCATAATGTAAAGGTGTGTAACCGTTATAAAACTCGGAGATGTTAACGTTCACTCCGTTTAGGCACAACCACCTTGTCGCGTCCAGGTTGCCGTTCATTGCAGATAAATGTAGAGGGGTGCACCCTGTGAACGTCTGAGCATTTAACAATGCTCCATATTCAATCAAGAGTTTGATAATGTCACCATTGTCTTGTTCAGCAGCAAAATGCAGAGGGCAGTATCCATGTATTTTGTCCGCGGTGTAGTTGACGTCCGCACCAAATTTGCATAAGAGTCGCACACTTTCAATTTGGTTATTTAGGATGCTTATAATCAGTGGCGTATGACAGTTGTAGTTAGGAGCGTTGATATCAGCATGTTGGACTCTTACAAGTTGATTAATTTTGTGCAATGATCCGTACTTTGCCGCAAATCTCAGCTGGCATTCCAGGCTCTGGTCCGTCAAATCAAATCGAACTTTTTTGTGGCAGTTTTCTATAAGCAAAATAATTTTGAGTTATTGTTGGCCAAGCAATGTTATTAATTTTACCTGAATATTTATCCATTTGTTGTGGTTTAGTAAGGATCATTGCTTATTTGTCCTTACACTACAGGAGTAAACCAAAACTAAACTAACTCTATTTACATTGGATAAAAAAAATGTGGTTGCCATAGAGTATTTTAATAAAACACAAAACAATAGACACTACGGAAATTTTAAACATTTTCATTCTTTACGTTTCGACTATAATTTAAGTCATCTTCAGAAGAATGCATTCTTCTGACAAGAAGAGAGGAACCTGGACCAAACTCTGTTTATGCTGGATAGCTCTATCAGTTCTAAATTGATCTCTGTAGAAGTCCAGGAATGGACATCCCTTAATTATTGGGCCACTGGCTGTTACTATACAGAAGACCCAAGTACCCAGACAAAGCTACATGAATCAAGACCTCTGTTTTAGTGGTAAAAGGCACATTAACTAACTATTAATAGATCAATTATTGTAATACTGAGATATTACTGTAAAACTAGTTAAATATTATATCAAAAGAAATATTATATCATAAATTAGATTACCCATTACTTTGTTGCAAAACATTTCAAATGTGTAACTTTTATCATGTGATATAAGCACCATATATACTGTACAACATAATTGTACAAAGCTGGTTATTTTAAAATACTATGACTTGACGAAAATATATTATACTGTTAAGTGACATGCTCAGGCCTGTTCTCTGATAAATACGAAAACTATTTAAGTTATTTAGCGGGTATATAAATATGATGGAAAGCTGTTCTTAGAAGCATTGTACAAAAAGTGAACATACCTTTTGTTGGCATTGTCAACGAAAATACTACGATTTCGAAAGCATTGAGTTGTCATTGACCGATTGACGTAACCTTTTTAAATTGGATCAATATTTTTTATCCATTTTTGCTTTGCGTTTAATATAATTTATAAAACCAAGATGCACAAGATACTGGATGATTTTATGACTTGAAATTCGCTATAAAATCGTTTTCTTTCATTGATTTTGACAAAACAATGTATATAAACAGCTGGTGACGACAGAGTTTACGAATGCAAATTTGAAATTTCAGACAAAAAAATCTGAATTGTGCAAATCCCTGCAATTTTAATATTTCTGAAAACACAGTAAATTAACACTACACAGAAAATGATTGTACCACAGTATCCTTTTCAAAATAGTACAAAATGAAACGAAAATAAAACAAAATGAAGTCATTTTCACGATCTTTTGAAAAATTTTTTGTTTTTGTTTTGAATTTTCACTTCCGTTTTTTGTGCATTTACTTCCGGTTCTTCCGGTGGTTTCCAACTTCCGGCAGCGCGTTATTCAATATGGCGGCCGCAGTGATTCATTCTTGTGGAAATTCTGCCGTGGAAATTGTGTATAAATCCTGCAAACCTGACAGTAATAAACTTTGTATGAAACGAGACAAGAGTGATGTAAAATGCAAGGTATTTATTCACTTGGTTTGTTAAAATATTTGAAGAGAAACTCAGAAACTGCTTGATTTTAAAAAGAAAATTGTAACTAGCACGTGGGTATAAACCATAAAATGACCATAATCATATAATAAAAACTTAACTATCACCAGTACTGTCAAAACCATTACTATCATCACCAATATTATCACTTCCTCACCATTGCCAATACAATCATCAATACCATCTTCATGATCACCAATACTGATCATTACCAATACCATCATCACCATGCCCATTACTACCATTGTCACCACTATCATCAATATTATCACCAATATTATCATCAATTTTATCATCAATTTTATCATCAATATTATCACCACCAGTATTATCATCAGCAATATTATCATCACCAATATTATCATCACCAATATCATCATCACCAATATTATCATCATCACCAATATTATCACCACTAATATTATCACCATCATCATGACCAATGTTATCATCACCAATATTATCACCATCATCATCACCAATATTATCACTGTTGTCACCAATATTATCATCACTAATATTATCATCACCACCATCATCACCAATATTATCACCAATATTATCATCACCGATATCATCACCAATATTATCATCACCAATATTATCATCATCACCAATATTATCATCACCGATATCATCATCAATATTATCATCACCAATGTTATCATCACCAATATTATCACCATCATCACCACTAATATTATCCTCACCAATATTATCATCAAATATTATCACCACCACAATTATCACCACCATCATCATCACCAATATCACTACTTTTATCACTATCAGCATCGTCATCAGCATTTCCACCATCATTATTATCATCACCACTGCCATCATTGCCACTATAACTTTACCAACACCATTACACTCATTACCACCATCACTGGACTAAAGGATTGTATCAATCAATCATAATACTGGTGCTCTAGGCATAAACCACCCCCAACCTCGCAAGCAAGGGCCTCCACACCCGCGGCGGGTGTGGAGGCCCTTGTTTGCGAGGTTGAAACCACCCCAAGTTTACATACCTTAGAACATAACAAAAACTATGTAATTCCAGGAACCGTACATCACTCTAACCAATGGATTTACAGCTCGAGGAATAACAACAACCATTAAAGCCATTGCCAGAATCTCAGAATGCAACCTACTTGGACAAGATATATTACAGGAAGCGGAAGTCGACCAGTGGATGGAATATTGTCTTACAAAAATTAATCCTTGTTGCGAAGATAAAACAGAAATTAAAGATATTATCAAGGTATTTAGTTTAAACACATTATGGTAGAATTAAATAAATTCGGTACTTTTATAGACCAAATTTATTTTTTACTTGAAATTATTTTAAGGACTAATTTTTAACCCTTCAAAAATTATAAACAACATACTGAAGAACTTAATGCTGATAATAATGTGAACAATTTCTAGTTGTTGAACTCATTCTTAGTGGACAGAGCATTCTTTGTTGGTAATTCCCTAACTACCGCTGATTTACTAATATTCTCAACGTTATTTGATGTTTATGTAAGTAAATTTTATCTTTTACAATTTATGTATTATTGCACGCAAGATTAACGAAAGATTAGATGAGTTTTCAGTACATAAAATATCGTATTGTGTTTTTCGGTAGAATACGTTGACAATTCAGGAAAAAGAAAGATATATCCACGTCTCGAGATGGTTTCAAGAGGTTTGTCGTATAAGATTATTTTCTCTTCTTTTTATAAATATATATTTACGTAATGAAAATATGTCTTGCTTCTTGTAGGTTCAAAATATTTGTTGTACGACAGATAAATCAAGAACGAAAGTTGTATTTCTTCGCAATTTGTTATATTGAGAAAGAAATATTAAAATAGTCTTAAATTTAGTATTAAAGATGTAAATTAATACAAAATAACAGTAAGTTAATAACGTTTGTCAATATTTAGTTAACAACAATATATAACGTTTGACACATTATTTTCTGCGAGGTTTGAGACAGTTTAACTGTCTGTCTTCAGGTTTCGTTACTATTTACACAGAAATTCCGGTAATTCCGAATAGAAGTTAAGTTCTCCGAACCAAGTTGATGACGTCATCAATTTCTCATCTCACCCTCTACAGCTCTTTGCCAAAAATGGACCTCAGAATTGAAATCTCCATGCTCAAATTGGTCTGTTCCGAAAAATTCGTGATGTTCGGACATTCACGGCGCGAGTTACGGCGTTTTGAAGATTTTGTGTTTACATTCATTTGCATGGAACTTCCGCTGCAGTGAAAACATTTTGTGAAAAAATACTTTATTTATGAAGTTTTATTGATATGTTGTTCGTGATGAGTTTTATTTGCTTATTTTGGCTATAATCTGGCAGAAAACAGACAATTCTTTTGACAATCACACTGTTCTCCAGGCCAATTCTATTGTCTTTTCGCTGTCTTGAAAATCCCACTGATCTCCAAGCCATCCAGTCACGATCCAGTGATCAGAATGTTGCACTGTCTTTTCATTTTTTTGCAAATCTCACTGTTCTCCATGTCGTCCAGTCAAGAATTGTTTCCATTGACATATTTTAGCCGTTTTGCCAAGGGGCTATTCCCTATTTTAAATTTCAAACCCTTTATGTAGTTATATTACCTCCAACAAATGCACCGACCGACATTTCAAATAATATAACACAACACGAATTTCTAATATATTTCTCTGCAATTTACAAGAAAAAATTCTTCTGTGAATTAATATGATAGTTATTCTACTCTATCTAACTTTGATGCACTAGTTCATTATTAAAGTTGGTCTAGTTAGAAAGCTCTGCTGTAATACATCTGGATATGTCTAGTATCATAATAATACATTTCTAGATCTGTCTTTGAGATTCAGAACTTTTGTTTGATATCTAATTGAACTACACACGTAAAAATGCACAAGGTGTTACAGGTCTGCAAACAAGTTGTTATAAATCTGTTCACAAGCTGTCGACAAGTTGTGTTCGCATTGCTTGTTCCTAGTTTGGAACACGCTTTTAACAGCTTGGAATAGGCTTGATGGCATTATCAGACTTGTTACAAGGTTCTAACAAGTTTGATACAGTCATGATACAACAAGAATTTTACAAGGTTGACGACAAAAGGCTGTAACAATATTGTTATATCATGACTGCATCGGACTTGTTGGAACAACCTTGCAACAAATCTGTTACAACTGTTAACATGTTGTTCCATACTTGTCGACAACTTGGGACAATTTTACAAGGTTGACGACAAAAGGTTGTAACAATATTGTTATATCATGACTGTAATATTGTTATATCATGACTGTATCGGACTTGTTGGAACAACCTTGCAACAGGTCTGTTACAACTGTTAACAAGTTGTTCAATACTTGTCGACAACTTGGGACAAGCAGTGCGAACACAATTTGTTGACAGCTTTGTTGGCAGACTTACTACAAGATGCGAGATTTTTGCGTGTGCATATGGAATAACCCAGGGATAAACCATCGATGATCGATCACTTGCACGAATTTTGAATTCTACGCAACACAGGCGGCGCATATTGACATAGGAGTGATACAATCTGAGTGACAGAATGCACCACAGCGTCTACACATGACCATAGGCTTCAGCACACACATGCAAGGGAAACCCAACGTATTGTTCACCGTCTTTGTCTCTTTCTTCTTCTTGCTTGCTTTCTTGGCGGGCTTTTCCTTCGTCGCTGACTGCTCGCTAACTACAGGAGTGCTAGGAAGAACCGACGTAGATTCTTGTAGTGAAGGTGCTTTTGCTTCTGTTGGACTTGCTTTTTGTTGATTAATACCTGCAAAAGTTATAGTTGTTGATGAGACGGAAATATTTGATACATGGCTAGGAAACAATGTCTCCTGGTTTGACCACCTTCAGGAAACATGGCTATAGGAAACGAGGATTCCTGGTTTGTCCACTTTTAGGAAAAACGTGGCTAGGAAACAATGATTCCTGGTTTGCCCACCTTTGGGAAACATGGCTAGGAAACAATGTTTCCTGTTTGTCTACCTTCAGGAGACATGGCTAGGAAACAATGTTTCCTGGTTTTGCCAACCTTCGGGAAACATGGCTAGGAAACAATGTTTCCTGGTTTTGCCAACCTTCGGGAAACATGGCTAGGAAACGATGATTCCTGGTTTGTCCACCTTCGGGAAACATAGCTAGGAAACAAGGAAAGAATGTTTCCTGATTTTGCAGATCCTTGAGATAAGATGACTATCCCTTACCTGTTTCAAGAATAGTCGTGACACTAGCTACATCGCTAGACTCTGTCACTGAAATACCAACAACATCAACAACTGTGTCTATAAAACCTAAACCTTGTCCATCGGAACTATCCACATTTGTTGCAGTTTTGACTTTCGCTTGTTTTGCCTTCGGCTTAGGTTTAGTCTTTTCTTTGACAGCGCCTTCGTTTCCATTTTTGGACGAAGTTTTCCCGCTCTTTGAAGATTTCCCCTCAGAAGTCTTTTTATGTGCCTTATTTGTGACACTTTTCGCCTTTGCGAGTTTTTGCTGTCGAACTAACGCTGCCTTTTGTTTGGAAGTTAAATTTTTTACACCGTCTTGTTCAGTTGAAGTCTTTGGTGGTTTATTTGGTGCACTCAAGTCCGTATTTTCGGATTCTTTTAATTTTTCACGTTCTTTTTCTAGTTTTTCTTTTTCAAGTTTTTCCTTGGCTATTCGTTCTTGTTCTTTCTGCCATTCAACGTGTACTTGTTCCATAATTTGATGGCTTCTTTCCACCGGCGATACATACCTTTCACTTTCCAAAAACCTTTGAATAAAAGGGTGTATAGGCGCGTGAAATATAAAAATGCACAAACGAAATATTATTTAGGCATCCAGGGTGTGAATATGAGGCGACCGTATAACTCTATCAGTTCTAAACTATTGTTCGTAGAGGACGAAATGAGTCTTATTCGTCCAATGTTACTACAGGAGGAAACCGAAAACCATTGCCATTAGCAAGCATTATACTTACTTCTCTCCCCAGACAGTTTCAAAATGTTTCGTCTATAAAATATAAAAAAGACCAGATTAACAATATTTTTTTTATCACGAGGGGGTGATTTTGGCTCCGAAGAACTTACTATAAATTTGCTAAATTATGCTGCTTTTACCTTCCACGGATCTTGATTAAAGAGCTTCTCTTGTTCTTGTTGTATTTTCTGACTCATCTCTGGAGTAAATTCTCCTGTTAAAGCAAAGAGTTGTTTGTTTCTCATGTATGCAACCAACTTTGACTGGTTCAAATATTGATGAGAGTTTTATCAACGCTCAAGCAACTCTTATTGCTCTCGCTATATTCAGAACCAGGTTCTGGGAACAATTCTATAGCGTCTGATTATCACTCAAATACTGAAACATTCTGAGTCCGCTCACCTTCGCTGAGTCTTTCTTTCCAAGATTCAAACGCACTTGTAAAGAACTCGTTACTGAATGCAGTGGCGGTCGGCCTGAACAATAAAAAGCGAAAATTGTCAAATGTTTTGATCTTGACGAGTTGTATACATCTCCATTGGATACTTACTTGATTTCGCCTTTACTTCCCAATTCTCGATCGACTTCTGGTAACAGTTTAACCAACTGATATTGGTAATGTTTTGGGAGGAGATTGAACGTTTCGAAGTTGATTAACGTCTGAAATGGTAAACAGCGATAGTTTTGTAAGGGATATATTTATTATGCGAATAACCAGGGTTTTTTTTGTACGAATAACCAGTCAAGGCGCTGGCAGACCGTCCGTTTGTACTATTCTGCTAAAAAATAACTCAAAAACCGTGTCTGGCTCACAGAAATTTTGCGTTTGTGCTTGGAATCTGTAGAACTTTGTATATATTACTTACCCTACAGTTAATTTTGGATAATATCGAATCTGGTGACACCAAGTCCACTTGACCTTCTTTGGAACGCTTCACTTGGGCAGCTTTAAATGAGAAGTTCACGCAAACGACATTAGAGAGGTACCTAGCATTGGCTTACTACGCATCTGATTGGTTAATCGAGAGGATTAAACGCATGTGATTGGTTAATGGTAGCGATAGCGGAAGTCAAATCTGAACCTCTCTTTCAAATATTGCCCAATAGACCTCATGCATAATGACGTCACAAGGCCTGATGCCTGCAAGGAATGCTGGTCTTAGTAGTCATCGCCCGGGAAAATTTCGATAGTGGCCATTTTGAATTGTTTAATTACTAAGACCAGCATTCCTCGTGGGCATCAAGCCTTGTGACGTCATTATGACGTCTATTCCCAAAGTTTCTGTTAAACACTGGTTCATTCCCCTCAAACATTTCTGACTTATAACTCCTTCAAAACTTAAAATTTACACCTATGCAAAATTCCTACTGTGATCACAGGAAACTCTGATAGTGTAGACCAGGCTTTAAGTTTTAACGAGGGAATCCACACAAAACCCTAGAAGCACAGGAGACAAGCAGACTCTGAGGTCTCTACTTCATGACTTTTGAAGCATGTCAAGTCTGCAGGGTCACCCATCATTCAAGGGCAGTACCCCTGAGCCGAGCTCCCCTTTTTTATCAACACTCTTAAGCAGAAACCAATTTAGAATTGAGATATATTAATCCCTACCTATGCTCATTTTCTTGTGCCGTTTTTGCTGTAAATATAGTAAAATAATTCAAATTAAGATCATAAAATAGTTTCATTATTCAGTCCTTTAATTAAGGGTACATTTACGCCAATAGCTTTTCGTAGCGGAATGTACAACTTTCAGAAGATGAGCGATGCAACATCTCTTCCGTTGCAACAATCTCTCTGAAAATAGTGTTCCTAAAAGGTATGGGTAGAAAGCTATGTGGTACAATGTAAACATTCAGTAGCTTAAAATATTTCAGACAACTGGAACGATGTATCGAAGGTAGCGATGCTTACCCCAAAATATCCCGAAGATGAATTCTTGACGACCGTGTGTGTCGGATACATTGGAGGCCTGAGAACTGGTGGAATGAAGTTCTGTGATACTGCCGGGTCATCTCCCATATATTTCAACTAAAAGTGGAGGGAAGTTGAAAATTAAATGGATTAAAATCATTTCCGTATATCATATGTCGAATACTGTGCACACATGATCATCAGAATATGCACAAATATATTTTTTTACATTACATTACCTCAGCTTTAGTTTTAACAGGTGGTCGTGTCAGTCGATCACTCTTGACTTTCTTGTCATTATCTAACTTGAATGTGACACGAGGTTTCTTGGAAGACGACCCTTCTTGAAAACACGGCTTGACGCTTCTTTTCTTTGCCAGTGCAGAACGTGCGGGCAGAGTGTCAGGTGTAGGAGCAATCAGGCTACTGAGACGAGAGTCTGCTATCGCACATTCAATTGAGGAAGTTACTGATGTAGACGACGCCTGGCTTTGGTAGGAACCTAGTATACCTACAAGATAATGGTATGATTTAGATTAACCCCCTGCGAATGGCACTGTCTAACACCAGATGATTTTACTTAGCACATAGCATCGCACATCTTCATACAAAAGGGATGGCTTGTCAAACATAAAAAAACAAGCATTAAAAAACATCAAAAGTTTTTGAGCAGGATGTAACATACTGCTAATTGGTGGCAATGAACCAGATGATGTAGACATGTCACTCGACAATATTCCTGTGAACTGTGACGATGTCTTCTCTCCTAAGTCTTTCGTATCTGTATCATTTGAACTTGAACCTGTGAGAAATAAATTATCAATTTTTTGCAACTTGTTACAACTTAGTTTCTTAGTGTGTAAATCACCAATCTTTCTGAGAAATATTGTGGGGTGACTGCCTCCTTTCACCCCCCCCCCCCCCCCCCCCCCCCCCCCCCCCCCCCCCC